CCTCTCGCTTCTCTCAAGGTCATCCGAAGGAACATGACCCTGGCTAGTTAACGCGCCCAATCTCCCACTGCTCTGCAACTGCTCTCTGCCCCCGCTGCCGATGAAGCCCCTTCTTCGAACGTCAACAACTCCCGCTCCAACGGGCCCCGAGGAGCTGCCCCCGCAGCGGCGCCCCGCCCTCCGAGGTGAAGCTGCTCGAGAATCGGGCCCAGGACGGCCCCGAGCTGCACCCCCGCGTCGACCTCGAGCAGGATCGTCGCCCCCTGACTCTCGGACCCCCCCCCCCCCCCCTCGCGCATGCGCGCCCTGGGGCACGGGGCGGCGCGATCCAAGCCGGCCAGGCTGATCGCGCGCAGCCTCTCTCCCCAGGGGTCGCGCACATGCTTCTTCAGCGCCTGGAAACCCTTCTCCTTGATCTCGCGGTCGCTCTCGGGGATCACCTTCGCGGCGCCGCAGCGGCGCGACGCCATCGCGATCGAGAAATGCGCGCGCGCGTGCGCGCGGGGGGGGGGGGGGGCGCCTGCCCGATGATTCAACGTCTCGCCGTCCTGCGACATGGCGCGCAGCGCTTCGGGCCCCTCGCCGTGGGCCTTGCCTGCCCGAAGAGACACCGCCGCCAGCCCCTGGCCAGACTAGATCTCGCACTTCAGCTAGGTCGCGGCGCGCACCTCGGTGACCTCGCGCGAGTTGCTGAGGACCAGGCAAGCCATCGCGTGCACCCTCCTGCCCTGGCCTGCGCCCTCGCCCTTGCCCGCTCCCACGGACCCCCTCTTGGCGGCGGCGTTTGGGGCCGGCGCCTCCGTCGACCCCTTGAACGGCGACGGCGGCGCCGCGGTCGACTCTGCGCCCACGCCTGCCGACATCGGTTGGCTCGCGCGGCTGGCGCGGCAAAAGAGGCGCAAGAAGGCGCTGGACCAAAGTGCGACGGAGACACAGCGCCAGCCCCGTCACATCGGAAGCCTGGACAGGCGAACGAACAGGGCTGCAAGGGCGCCGCCATGGAGCGAAGCCCTCGAGCGACGCAATGCCCACGACATAAAGCACTCACGAGACGACGAGAAGCCGTAACCTTCGTGGAAAAGATCCGCCGGCAGTTAACGAAGATGTCAGCGGGGGTTTTAAAAATGAAAAGAAACTCAGAAGATGGTGACGATGCCGAAGATAGCTATGAGGACCCTGACGCGTAGAAAAATCGCAACCACATGGGGCCCCCTCCTCATCGAGGCCACACACGAATGGTAAACCAACTGGTTCGAGGGCTTCGTGGCCACCCGCTCGAGTTGGGCGGGGGATCTGGGCCAAGAAACACGCTTGTCCAACCTTGGCAATGTCAGTACTCACGAACTCCTCAACCGCTTCCTGGTCAATCAGGAGTCCTAAACCTTCAGAAACACGACGAATGCCCTCGCGCGGAAGGCGCCAGCTAACCGCGTCAAAGTCTGAGGCCACCTGGCGGGCCCGCGGAGACGCCCAGCGCGCTGGCCTACTTCGAACGAGCTGAGGCCTATACCAGTCTAACTCTGCTACTCCGATAACGCGCGCAGCACCAGGCCGTGACCATCGGGGTGACGGCCCCAGCTCTGATAGAGTTTATCCCGACGCATAAGCAGCTCCGTAGTCGAAGGGGCCCGGCCTAATCGTTCCAAGACCTGCCCCCCGCTAAAAGTCTTCACGCGTGGCCCGTCAAAGCCCGCGACCCCCCCCGCCGCGGCCTTCCCCAATCTAGCCAAGCAACTATCCGAAATATCTGCATCGGCCTTGCATAGCACGAAACTCTCGAGGCAGCTCAGTAACGAGTTTTGCGCGAACCTGATGAATAAGTTACGCGCCCAGCGCCAAGGAGCCCCTACGCCCCCAGCACCTCCCAGAGAAGCAAATCCCCGCACACTGCACTTCGCCCCGCGCCAATACGCCCGCGCACTTCGCCACGTGCCAATTCGCCCGTCGACAGATCAAGCCCTATATAACACACTCCATCCTTTTACTCTCCCCTCCATTCGATGCTCCTGCAAAAAGACTGAGAGGGCTGCGCGGGGAACCGACTGTCCTTGCCCAGTCCAGCCATAGCTCGGATAAGCTGTTTGCATCTGCAACTCCTGCGAAAGAAATGCACGCATAATTCCTGTTTGGTTGCGTTGTGCCCGCGTCCGAAGGCTCCAAAGCATCGTTGAGGCTATGATCTGCAACATGGAGCTTCGTGATCAATTCTGCAAAGGACGTCCCTGGATTCGAGATAATCATCACACTGATATCGTCGGCGTACTTGGACAGGGATCAATCAGCCCGAAGCGACTCCCAGCTCGATCGAAGAAGACGGGTCTGCCGCCTGCTGCTCACGCTTCCAGCGGAGGATGGGGCGCGAGAGCGCTCCCAGGCCTTGACCGCGAAGGGCCCCCCCATGGCGTTACCTTCCCCTGGTTTTACCAGAAGTGGCCCCTTCCCCGCCTCCAGACGAATGACAGCGCGACGGTATCGCTGCCTGCAGATATCGCGGTCCTGCTCCGCCGCGCAATCGGACAGTCTCGTCGATCTCATCCCAATTCGACCCCCGAAGGCGTTAGCCATGTCATTTAAGGTAAACGCGTGGGTCCAACCTGCTTGCCCAATCCGCCAACTCGTAGTTAGAGCTGCCAGTGCTGCGTCATCCCTCCCCCTGTGCCAGACGAACCCGTGATCCGACGAGGTGGGCGACGGTTTTTTTCAGCGACGCGTACAATGCCTTACATACTGCTGCCATCACATGCATGGCCCGACTGCCTCTAGGCCCCGAGAGGTTGTTTGCCTTCAGAATGCCTGCTCTTTCCGTCCAGCGCCAGTGTAGCGACAAGATGTTACGCATGCGGACCTTACTTGAGCCCACCGAAAGGAGCCGCTTAAAGGTGTCCGCGTTGGTTCTACTACTCTTCGCTCCAAGCCCCTGGCGTTGATCGCGCGCGCATGCAACGTCCTGGCATCAGCATCATGTGCCAGCACTCCAAGGGCGCCGAGAAGCTAGGGGCCGCTCGACAATGTGCTGCTCTATCAATAGAACTAATGCGGTCACGATCATCCTCTGCTCGCTCGACAACGTCCGAAGATGGCAGCCAACGAAACTGCTCATGACGAGCATCACGCCACTCAGCCCAATAATGTTACACGACCGACATCCCACCTGCAGCCCCCTCCTGGCTCCAGCCGCCAATCCAGGCCTGGGCGGTTGGGGATGCTCTTTCCACCAGCAAGCCGCCCCGCTTCTCCGGACCGATGCGGGATCTGGCAGCTCGCCTGGTGAGGCGCGTCGCCTCGGCTGGACGACCTCAGTGCTCCGAAACTTCTGAAAGACCTCTGTTCCCGCGCATGCCGGCGGCGAACAAGCTTGAGTTCTTATGGGAGACGTTCTAACTCTTCATCGATGTGTACACTATCACGAGACTGCGCGTTCATCTTCGCACCTCGACTCTCTAGCCGCTCAAAGGCGACAACGCTCCTGACAACGTAACCGATAATTCTCATCCTCCTGAGCAGCATCCAGCCCGAAAAACTGTTGACCGGGTGTGAAAAGACTGTGTTCAATGGTTTCCAAGATCTCGTCGGGGGATCCGTTATTCTGTAGGCCAACGCATGGAGGTTCGGTCGAATTCGGTACGCGCTGCTGCAAGAATCTCACGACGACTATCCCCCCTCCGAAGAACCCGCATCATCTTATCTGTGTTCGATGTCAGTCCCCCCTCCTCTGCCGACGGGCCCTCGATGTGCTTACAATAACGCATAGTGCAGAAAAAAACAAGTGATCCCTAGGAGAAGGGCCCCATACAGTTTGTAGAATAGCTCCTAAGTGATGTCGAATATGGCATTGTGTGACCTGTTCGCGCACACCTGCCGGGCAAAAGAGGTAGTCAATGCGCGAGCTGCCTCCATCATTCCCGAAGAAGGTGGGTACGAGTATGGCTCCCTCCGTGTCACCCGCAAAGAAACGATGGGGATCGAGTGCCTCACGAAGTCTCTCTCCTGCTCCTCCTCTGTACCTCCCCTGACTAACGACCTCGGCAACGGACGTATCTGCAGCACAATGACTACCAAGAGGGACCCCAGCCCGTCGTTCGCGTCGCAATACATGAACGGCAAGCACCGAACGGGCAGCGCGCCTAGCACGTCCTCCAACCAGCTGCTCAGCAGGCTCACCGTCTTGATAGACCGCGGTCTCTGAAACAGCGAGGACGACCGCGGGGGGAAATAGAGAGAAAGATGGCGCACACGTTATACCTACCACGCTTAATACGGACCCCCAGGGCCCTGCCTTTAGAGTCTGATGGGGGAAGGCCATGATTGAGGAGTGTGCCTGTCTTGTATCCCGCCGTCGAAGACCACCGAACAGCCTCAACTCGAGTTACTGAGCGGGGAGTGCGGTCCAGACAGGGCCTCCACAACGAGTCGATGTGCAACCTGACGACACGACACGACACCTCCTGCGCACTGCTGCCGGCGATCATGTGTTTGTGTACCTGCCATAATGACGACATCATAGCTCCTGGTTTCTAGCACGACTTCCTCCAGGCGGGACCCCGAGCACCACATTGGGTTCCAGCCGAGCAGACGTAAGTGCAACATCGCTGCTCGTCGACAGACCGCTGCCTGAGGAAGTTCGAGTAGCGAATGTGCTGTGCTTGCTGGGAAGGGAGTGGGGCCCCCAACAAAGCACCTGCCTCAATGTCTGTCTCACCCACACGCGGCGAGACTTCGGGCCCGTGGGTTCGAGGATGGGGAGGAGGAAGAGGAGGAAGAGGAGGAGGAGGCGGAGGAGGACGAAGAAGAGGAAAGAGCAGGAGGAGGCGTAAGAAGAGGAAGGAGGCGGAGGAGAAGGAGGAAGGAGGAAGAAGAGGAGGATGAAGAAGGAAGGAGAAAGAGAAAGGAGGAAGGATGAGGAGGATGAGGAGGATGAGGAGGAGGAGGAGGAGGAAGAGGCAGGAGGAAGATGAAGAGGGCGCCACCCCCCCTTTCGTGGTGGTGCAGGGGACCCTCGCCTCGCCCGCGTCCGACCCCAGCAGCGACCCCGGCAGCGACCCCGCCGCCCTCTCTGGGGCACCTGGCCGCGCCAGGCCCCAGGGCACCTCCGTCTCGTCAGCCTCTGGGCGGTCGTCTTTGCCGTCGCCGCCGCCGCCGCTGCCGCCGCCGCCGATCGAGAGCGGCAACAGTGTCCGCATCCGCGCCCTCGCGGGCCGGCTTCCGGGGCGCGAGCCTATGGGTTCGCGGTCGCACGGATAATTACGGCCCGCGCGGGGCGTCCGCGAAAAAACGCCCCGTTACCAAGGGGCCCCGGCCGAGGGGCCCGGCCCGCGAGGCCGCGGATACGGATATGTTTTTCGCCCGCGAGCCGCCGCTGCCGACGTCTGAGGGGCAGCATTGCCAGAGCCCCTCGCGTGGAGAAAGAATCGCGACGGGAGGCTTTTCTGGGCTTCCAGGGGCACTTAGCGGCCCAGGATGAAAAGCCAGTCCCGAGGAATGGGTCAAGACCTTCGGGGGCCGACGATGCGAAAAAAACATGACACCAGGGATCTGGGTAGGAGGGGGGGGCGGGCAGCCCAGGGGGAGGGGGGGCACCGAGCCTGAATCGGCGACACGTGGCTGGCACATCTCGGCGACGGGCCGCTCCCGATGGCGAGAGCACGCGCTCCTGGGCGGGGTGGGCTTGTCGGGCCCCTTGCCGGCGATGAGCGGGCGATTGGGGGTCGATGCGTCGCCCCCGATCCACCCCTGAGCCTCGCTATCCACCCCTAGCGTTGCCCCTGACCTTCCGCTCCCTGGCTTTCGGACCACAAGTCTGGCCTTCGGCGGCCGTTTGGGGGAAGATCTGGGCACCCTCGGAACGCTCTCGACGACGAGGCGCTGCTGATGGAAACGACCCCAAGCCTCAGAAACTGTTGAAAAGAAACTCCCAAGTACTGTCGAAACTACCCCCTGAGTATATCCCCCCTCTGGCGTTGCCCCTGATCGTCGCCATAGCCATCGTCGTTCGTCTTCTACCTCGTAATGTCATGATTGTTCACAACGTCGGCTCCCAACGTCACGAATTTCAATTCAACGTCGACCCCCAGAGGTCTCGACCCATTCCCCGGGACGGGCTCTTAATCCTGAGTCGCTTTTTGACGGCCCCGGGACCTGGCAAGGACCCCCTTGAGACCTAGGGCTGGCAACAACCTCCCGCCGTGCTCCTTCGTTCACGACGCGGCGGAGTCTGGGAACGTCCCCCCCGAGCGTTGCCCGTGATCGTCGCCGCCGTCGTCGCGGTCTGCCGCCCGCCTCCGACCCCAGCAACGACCTCGCCCCCCTCTCCGCGGTGCTCAGCCGCGCGGGGCCCCAGCGCGGCTCCGCCTCGTCCGCCTGCCGGTCGGTCGTACGCGCCCAGCCACGCACACGAATACCCCCCCCCCATATGGCCGACAATACGTTTTTCCCATCCGACCGCTTTTCTTCCGACAGGCTTGCCTACAGGAGTCCTGGCATGATGCACGAACGAGTGATCCCCGAGTCTCCCCTCCTCGACTCTGCCGTTTCATCCAGCGGCTGAGTGACGCCACTGCAGCGAGAGCTAAGGCGAGGCACGCTTAGCGCCAAGTCCACCTGATGTTGCAAATTCATGGACTACACCAGGCGAGTCGCGTGCAGAAAAACGTGTTGTGGCTGCGCTAGGCAAGCAAGCACATGAGGAAAAACGGCGTGCAACAACGCACAAGGAAAAGCACGGCGAGCCAGGCAAAGGAGAGCGCCGGGCATTCCGGATCTGGACTGAAACAGTCGGGCGCAAGGGCCGAAACGCGCGCCCGCACTTGGCGGGCGTGCCCGAGCGCCGACGGGACCAACGCTGGGTAGCCAGCTGCAGGTGCCTCAAGAACTCGGGGGCCCCAGGCACCAAAACGAGGGACACCGGGAAAGGCGAGGCGGGCCAGCGACTGTGTCCGCCCAGCCCAGCCAGAAAATGTAAAATCCGCCGACCCTGTCGGCGTGTGGAAGAGGCTGTCGAGTCTCAGCAACGTTCTAGTTGAGTCGAAGGGAAGCCCCTTCCCTTTGATCCCTTCCCCGCCGGGAAGAATAGGGTCCCGGGGCAGATATACCTCCTCGGGCGGTTTGGCGACCAAGAAAAGCGTTGTAGTTGAGTCGAAGGGAAAGCCCCTTCCCTTTGACCTTTGATCCCTTCCCCGCGGGGGGGGGGGGGGCAGATATACGACTCCTCCTCGGGCGCTTTGGCTGCAAAGAAAAGCGTTGCACTTGAGTCGAATTTAACGGAGGCCCCTTCCCTTTGACCCCTTCCCCGCCGGGGGGGGGGTCCAAGACCTGCAGGGGGGCCTCCCGGGGGGGTCCCGGGCAGATATACGACTCGAGATCCTCCTCGGGTGGTTTGGCGGCCAAGGAAAGCGTTCGAAAGGAAGCCCCTTCCCTTTGATCCTTTCCCCGCCGGGGGGGGGGGGTCCGGAGGGGGCCCCCCGGGGCAGATACGACTCCTCCTCGGGCGGTTTGGCGGCCAAGAAAAGCGTTGTAGTTGAGTCGAATTTAACGGAAGCCCCTTCCCTTTGATCCTTTCCCTGCCGGGGGGGGTTGTCCCGGGGGTGGCCTCCTGGGGGGGGGCCCGGCGGTGAGGGGTCCCATCTCCTCCTCGGCCGGTTTGGCGGCCAAGGAAAGCGTTGTAACTGAGTCGAAGGGGAGCCGCCTGGGGGGGGGGGGGGCGGTCCCGGGGGTGGCCTCCCGGGGGGGGCCGGAGACGGGTCCCGGGCAGGTCCCGGGGCAGATACGACTCCTCCTCGGGCGGCTTGGCGGCCAAGAAAAGCGTTGTAGTTGAGCCGAAGGGGAGCCCCGTCCCTTTGATACCTTCCCCGCTGGGGGGGGGTCCCGGGGGGGGGGTCCCGGGGAGGTCCCGGGGCGGATACGACTCCTCCTCGGGCGGTTTGGCGGCCACGAAAAGCTTTGTAGTTGAGTCGAAGGGAAGCCCCTTATAAAAGCCCTTTGATCCCTTCCCCGCCGGGGGGGGGTCCCGGGGGTGGCTTCCCGGGGGGGTCCCGGGGCAGATGTACGACTCCTCCTCGGGCGGTTTGGCGGCCAAGGAAAAGCGTTGTAATTGAGTCGAATTCAACAGAAGCCCCTTCCCTTTGATCCCTTCCCCGGGGGGTGGGGTCCCGGGGGTGGCCTCCCGGGGGTGGCCCGGGCCAAATACGACTCCTCCTCGGGCGGTTTGGCGGCCAAGAATAGCGTTGTAGTTGAATCGAAGGGAAGCCCCTTCCCTTTAATCCCTCCCCCGCCGGGGAGGGGTCCCGGGGATGGCCTCCCGCGGGGGTCCCGGGGCAGATATACGACTCCTCCTCGGACGATTTGGCGGAGCAGGCCCCCAAGAGGCCCAAAAGAGGCCCCAAAAGGCCCCCCAAAGCGACAAAAAGAAGCCGCCTGACAGGCCCCAGTAGCTCCGACTTCGAAACTCACAAACAACCGCGCGCCATAGCCGTCCCAACCCGATCATTCACCGCACCGAGAAACAAATTAGTACGGCGACGGTCAGAACGTCTATACATCTCTTTCCAGTTCTCTATATATGTATGCCATATATATACATATATGTATATATAAACGTACGTAAATTCACGCGCGCATACACAAACACACACACACGCACACACACACACATACATACATACATACCTGCATATATATATATATACATACATACATACATACATACATACATACATGCATGCATGCATGCATACATACATACATACATACATACAGACAGACAGACAGACAGACAGGCAGACAGACAGACAGACAGACAGACAGACAGACATACATACATACATCAAACCTACATACACGCAGACAGGCATATATGCATGCATACAGACAGACAGGCAGGCTGACAGACAGACAGAAAGACAGACAGGCAGACTGACCAGACAGACATGCACGTATACATGCATACATGCATACATACATACATGCATGCATGAATGTATGCATACATGCATGCATGCATGCATACATACCAACATGCATGCATGCATACGTGCATACACACATACGCACGGACGTATAGACATGAATAGATGCATAAACATATACATGCACACATAGCGGTACGTAGAGAGTGATATCTATGCATAAATATAGATGTGTACTAGAACCATCGCGCGCGCTTCGCGCGCGCTCAGATTCTAGTCCAGGCTGGGGGCGCGCTAGAAGATCTTGGACAGCGCTATCAAGCACAGGCGCGTGACATAGTCGTGCCTCCTGAGGGCCTCTTGGGAACCTCTTGGGTATTCGTGGGGGCATCTGAAGGGCTTCTGGGGGGTTCTCCGTGCTTCCTCGATTGGTTGTTGGAGGCACCTCTTGGGTGCTTCTCGGGTGGGCATCTTGGGGCTTCTTGGGGTCCCTTGGGGGAATCGTCAGGGTTCTCCGGGCAGTCGGAAAGTGATGTTCTGCAATCTGAAGCAGTCAATTGGCCGTCTTGGCTGCGTGGAGGCCCGGCTTGAGGCCACATTGGGGCAATCGGGAAGCCTCTCGGGGCCTCCTTGAAGCAATTTTGATGCATCGAGAGCACTGTTCGGCTATCTTGGGGCCCCGTGTACGTCTCCTGTGAGCCTTTTGGCGCCTGGTGGGGGGCTTTCGGGGGCCTCGTCAGACCATTTGGGGACTCTTGGAGCCTCCTGTGGGCGTCTTAGGGCGGAAAGCTCTGCTGTTGGGTTCGCGTTCCCTTGGGGCTCTCTTGGGGCCCTCTCGGCACCGTCTTGGGGCCCTCGTGGGCCGTCTTGGGGCCCTCTTGGAGGCCACTTCGGCTATCTTAGAGCGGTCTTTGGGGCCACTTGGGCCGTCTTAGAGCGTCGGGATGCCAAAAGGCTGGGAACTCTAAAATCCATCGAAAGCCGATGGGAAAACAATGCTTCTTGAAACCTCTTGGCCTTCTGGGGAGCTTCTTGAGGGCCTCTTGGGTCCCATTTGGGAGCCTCTGGAGCTTCCGGGGAGCCTCTCGGGGTGGAAGGCTCGGATGTTCGGTTCGTCTGGTCTTGGAGGCCTTTGGGGCCGTCTTGGAGCGTCAGGACGCCAAAAGGCTGAAAACCCTTACATCAATCAAAAACCTTTGGCAAGACATGGATGTTTGCCTCTTGGGGCCTTCGTGGGAGGCCTCTTGGATACTCTTCGGCCCCCTCGGGGGCTTCTTGGGGCCTCTTGGAGCCTTTTAGGGGCTTCTCAGGGCCTCCTGAGAGCCTCTCGGGGTGGAAGACTCAGACTTTCGGCTCATGTCAACTACCCTCTTGGCTCCATCTTGGGGTCGTCTTGGGCCCTCTCGGGCCGCCTTAGGCGCCTCTGGCGCCGTCTTGGGACCCCCGTGGGCTGTCTTGTGACCGTCTTCGAGGCCTCTGGGGATGCCTTGGAGCGGAAATTTAAGCCTCTTGGGCCGTCGTGGAGCGTCAGGAAACTCAAAAGGCGAGAACTCGAACATCGATCAAAAACCAAAGGAAAATAAATTTGTTGTGCCTCCTGGGCTCCTTGGGAGCCATCTTGGAGACCTCTTAAGGCGTCTTGGAGGCCTCTTGGACAGTCAGGGGCCAATTCTGGGGTGATCTCGGGCGGTCATTGGTAGTTGTCGTTGTCTGGAAACGCCATTTCTGGCAATCCAGGGCAGTCTTCGGGCGACTTTACAAGGCCCCCAGCGCCACGGCAGGGCCCCCTGGCACCCTGGTGCGAAGGCCCCGTCCCGGGCCCCGCCTCGTGCTCGCGGCAGGTCGTCCCTGGGCCGTCTCGGCGCCCTCGTGGGGGCCTGTTGGGGCGATATTGGGTGTCTGAAATCCATCAATCACCTAAGGGCAATCAATGATTTTGGCGTCCCGTTGGGTCGTGTTGGAAGCCTTGTGGGCCGTCCGGAGGCCATCTTGGGTGCGTTCGAACGATATGTCCTCGTTTCGGGGCCTCTTGGGGGCCTCTTGCGGCCCTTTTCGTCTGTGTTGGGGCTTTCTTAGGCCGTCTGGGGGCGGCCCTGGGCTGTCTCGGCGCCCTCTTGGAAGCCTGTTTGGAAGAGTTCTGGGTGTCCTGGACCGTCCTCCTTCAACGTCTAAATACTTCCTGGGAACATGATTTGTTGGGGTGTCGTTAGGCGCCTCCGGAGGCTTCGGGGCCTGACGCGTTTCCGAGCGTGGCGGCAGGTAGCGCTGCTTGGGACTCTCGTTTTTTATCCTGGCAGGCGTTTAGGGAACATGGTTTGGGGAGAGGGCGGCAACCCGAGAATCATGTTCCGGGGAAGCTTTCCGGGAGTATGATTTGTTCGGCTCTCTTAAGAGGGGCGCCTGTGGGGGCTTACCGAGGGGCCCTTTTTGGCCTTATCGGCAAGCCTATTGGAAACATGGTTGGGGCGGTAAGCGGAAGCCCAAGGAATCATGTTCCCAGAAAGCTCTGGGAAATAAGATTTACCGAGGTCTCTTGGGGGCCCGCAGGGGGCTTCCCTGGGGGCCCCTTGGGGGCTTATTGGGGCTTCCGAGGGGCCTTTTGGGAGCCTCACGGGGGCTTCTTGGGAGCCTCTTGATGGCCTCCAGAGGCGTCCTAGGAGCCTCTCAGGCTGGAGACCTTGAAATGTCGCGCTCTTCGGGCCCTCTTGGGTCGCTCTTGGGGCTCTCTTGGGGCGCTCTCGAGGCCCTCTTGAATTATCTGGGGAGCCTCCTGGGCCGTCTCTGGTCTTTCTTGGGAGCCTCTTCGGCCGTCTTGCAGCGATCTGAAGGGCCTCTGACGCCGTCCAGGACCGTGGGGAGGCGGAACATGCGAGAGCGAAAAAATGCGGGGCCCTTTGGAGGGACCTCTGGAGGCACCCTTGGGGCGTTTTGGCGGCGTCGTCGTCCGTCATGAGGCCATCGTCGGCGTGTCTGGGGCCTCTTGGGACTGTCTTGGCAATTTTAGGGCCCTCTTGGCGTGTCGTGGCGTGTTTGGGAGCGGGCCCGGGCAGTCCCGGGAGCCCTGGGGGCTGTTGAATGCTAGGTGTTGTCTTGGAGGCGGAGGCTGTTGAATGCAGGGTGGCGCGTGCTACGCGGAAGGCGGGCGAGCTGCCGGGCGGGCGGCGAGCGGGCGGATGGCGGGTGGGCGGGCGGGCGGGTCGGGTTTTTGATGAATTCCTTAAGGATGCTCTCTTGCAGCGGGAGCTTGTTGACTACAGGGTGTTGCCTTGAAGACGGGGGCTGTTCACTATAGGGTGTTGTCTTGGAGACTGAAGCTGTTGAGTACAGAGTGGTGCGTGCTACGCGGACGGCGGGCGGGCGGCGGGGGTTTGGATCTCGTGGTTGGCCTGTCGAGGACGTCGTGAAGGCAATTTCGCAGCTTCTCGGCAGCCGTTTTGGGACCGTTGTGGGGCCTCCTCGGGGGTGTTTTGTAGCCTCTTGACGCCTCGTTTGGGCCTGGGTGCCTCTCGGGGGCCTCCTGGGGCCTCTTGGAAGCTCCTTAGGGCCTCCTGGGGCACTCTTCAAGCGGGAAGGTCGAATTTTGGAGTCGTGGTCCCCCTCTTGGGCGCATCTTGGGGCCGTCTTGGGCGCCTCTGGGGCCGTCTGGGGGCCCTCTTGGGGCGCTCTTGGGGGCCTATTGGGCCGTCTTGGAACGTCGGACAGCCGAAAAGGCTGGAAGGCCAAAGTCTCCCCAAAACCTTCGTAAATTTGACGATGTCGGCCACTTGAAGCGCTCTGGAGAGGCGTCTTGAAGCGTCGTTGAGTGCCTTGGGGGGGCCTCTCGGGCCGTCTTGGGCCTATCATGGGCGTCCAGGAGCTGTCTTTCGGAGACTCGGGGCCCGCTTGGGCCGTCTGGGGAGCCTCTGGAGGCCCTCCTGGGCTATTTTGACCTCCCTGGCCGCCCCGCCCTGCCATGGAGGGTCGGGGCACCTGTTTGTGGGCCCCGGGCCTGCCCCCCAGGGATATATATATATATATATATATATATATATGTATGTATATATTTAGAGATATATACATACACATATATATATACATAGATGTGCATATATATATATATACATGTATACATATCTATACATATATATATAGATACACATGGATGTATGTATGTATGTATGTATGTATGGATGGATGGATGGATGGATGGATGGATGGATGGATGGATGGATGGATGTTTGTATGTATGTATGTATGTATGAATGTATGTATGTATGCATACCTGCATGCATGTATGTATGTATGTATGTGCGTATGCATGTATGTGTGCATGTACGTATGCACACATATACACATATTCATACACACGCACATGCCTACATATTTACATATGTAAACGTGTAGGCAAGATTCGGGCGTAGCGGCCACGCGCGCGGCGGGGCAGCGGAATCGAAGTCCAAATAAACACACACACACACATTTTTTGGCCACAGCGGCCTCGCGCGCAGCGACGCAGCGAAAAGTCAGGACAGCGCGCGCGGCGGCCAGGCGCTCAACATCGCTTAGGATGTAAGCCTACAGGCATTGGCCATCTGGGCATAGATGGCAGGGAAGGAACACGCAAGACCGTGGGAGAGACTCACCACAGGGGCATGAGAGACACCACACACACACACAACAAAAAAAACAACAAAAAAGCACACACACACACACAAGTTGACTCCGCCGGCCAAGTGACGTCGCCGTAGCGGGTGATGGCAAAGGGCGCGGGCGATCGCATGCCTTCCACCTGGCGTTGCAGGTGGTGGGATGCGCAAGGCAAATCGGCGCGCGCAAGGAAAAGCACCCATCTGAGTGGATGGGCAGGCGAGGCCTGACGTGTGCAAAGGTGCACAAAATGAAGCACACACACACACTCACACACACACACACACAAACACACACACACACACACACACACGCGCGTTCCCTCCGCCAGCCAAGTGACGTCGCCGTAGCGAGTGATGACATGGACGCGGGCTATCGCATGAATGCCACCAGGCGTTGCAGATTGTGGACTGCGCAGGGCAAGTCAGCCTTCAAGGAAAAGCACCCAACTGAGTGGGTGGGCAAGCGAGGCCTGACGCGTGCAGAAGCGTGCAAAACAAACTACAAAAATGATGCTTCCTCCGCCGGCCAAAGGACGTCACCGCAGCGAAGGACATCATGGGGCACAGCCCGTCGCGAGTTCCGCCGGGCGCTGCAGGTGGGCGGCTGCGCGAGGCGAGCGAATGCGAGCGAATGCGAGCGAATGCGCACATACAGACGCCCAACGCAATGGGCAGACAGTCGAGGCCTGACGCGCACATTGGCGCGCTGAGAGCAAAACACACGCACAAACACACACACACACACACACACACACACACACACGCACACACCGCACACCGCACACACACACACACACACACACACACAGGCATTGGACTATATGATGTTCTCAATGCGCGGCCCAATAGGCGCTGACCGTTTCCCCGTATTCAACGCCCCAAATCAGCTTTTTCTCTGGCGGCCGTTCGAAGCGATCGGGACACCCCTGGAACGCCCTCGGCGAGGCACACGCAGCTGCTGGAGTGCGCCCCGCGGGACGGAAAGACGCCGAGAGAGACCCGATGGAAACGTCCATACCCTGAGATCCCGCGTTGCGAAACAAACGCAGCATCGCAACAAAAAACTACCAAAGCCCTAGACTCCATCTTTCTGCGTTCTTCGAGCTGGATCGATCTGTGACGGCCCCAGGGCCCGAAAGCGGGCAAAAACGCCCCGTGCCAAAAGATGCAACTCCCGGATCTGAGGGTAGGGACCGACTATTCTCCGTTTGCGCGCAAGTGTGACCCTAGACAAGAGTGACCTTCGGTGCACGGTCTTCGGGGGAGCGCGAGGGGGCCAAACCCAAGCGCGCAGGCCGCAGCTATCTCATCGCATTCAGAGATCGGGTCAATGCACTGGGGTCAGTCAGGCTTTGCAGGATCCTGCGAGATCCTGCAGGGCTGCAGGGTCCTGCAGGATCCTGCGCGCAAGCCCAGCTCAGCCCACCCCTGGCCCTTCAGGATCCTGCAAGATCCGGCGCTCTGGCTGACCCCCGTTTGCATAGACCCCCGCCTCCAGGCCCCAGTGGGCCCGCACCACACGTCACCCCGGCGAAGGACCACTCGCACGTGCAGTCGACTTGCCCCCGCGGGACGCCCGCCTCCTCCACGGCGCCGCCCTCGCGGGCGCCCTCCACGCGGGGCGGGCCCCCGCGCGCCGGCCCTTCGGAGGGCCAGCTGGCCCCCGCGGCCTGGCTGGCACGCGGGGGCGCGGGCTCGCCAGGTCGCTGGGCGTGGCCGGCGCCTTGCCGGGAGGCGGCTTTTCAACAGCAGCCGCGATCGCCACCAGCAAGACAGGACTGTACTGCTTTAAATGTCGCCGCGCCGATTGGTCTGAACGCATCCAGATGGACGACGCCAACACCACGGCAAAGCAGCAAAACCCAGAGCAAACACGCCCCAGCGCCCTCCCCAAGACGCAAGGCCGCGCGTCGGAACAAACGGCGCGGTGACAAATCATTTTTTGGGAATGGAGGAGAGTGTTCGAAGGCATATAGCGTTCGAAGGCATGAGATGATCACGACATCAAGGTAACCCCACTCGAGACCAATGAACCCGTCTGGGTCAACACGCACGTTGCCGCTGCACCTCGGGTGGGGCCCTCTTAGATTCCAGTTCCACAGGGACTTCTCCTGAGGCCTCTTCTTATTCAGGCATGGGCTCGAGTCCGTAGCCATTTTGGCTCAAGCTGCGGCCAGCCCCCCGCTCGGTGCGGCGCGGGCCTGCAATGACGCGGGCGGCCAAGCCTGGCCGCAAGATCGTGGTGCGGCACGGGGAGACGGTTACGCACCTCGACACCGTTGTGGACGCAGCGGAGCTCATCCTCCTCATCGAGGCTGGAAAGCGTTCGACGACACACGACGAGCTCACGCTCAACACATACGAGAAGGTGCTCCGCGGTGCTGGCTCGCGCCTGGCGCTCGGGCGCAAGGCCACCACGGAGGAGGTCAGGCGCGCTCTCCTCGCCGAGGGGGACACGGACCTCGCCAAGAGGTGGGCAGCCTTTCGCGCAGGAAGGCGCCTCGCTGCCCATCCTGATCCAGAGCTCCTGCTCGACGTGCTCACGAAGCTGGAGGTGCCCCGCCCGGCCTGGCCAGCGGGTGAAGGAGCACGTCACGGACCTGCAGGAGGAGCTGCCGCAGGACAACATCGAGCAGCGCTCGTTCCTCACGGAGGCCGGCGCTTGCGTGCTCAAGACCTCGGAGCACGACACGTCTACCAGGAAGTGCGGGAGCCCGCACTCGGAGCTGCTCAGCGGCAAGGGCGACCAACCTGCCACCGAGCTGGGCGCCATGGTCGAGAAGGCCAAGACCGCCCCGCTCATCGACTTCAAGACCGAGGACACACAGAGCTACGACAAGGCGGACGAACCCTGCGTGCTCACGACCTCTGAGTACTCGGAGCACGACACGTCCGCCACCATCGAGGATGACGATAACGAGACTGCAGTCAGCCCCTGCGCAAGGCGGACTCCTTCGGCGTGCTCACGACCTCGGAGTACGACTCGTCTGCCACCGCGGAGCGCAAGGAACTGGAAAAGGAACTGGACAAGGTCGAGTGCAACACCCTGCAGTACGACGGGTCGGCCACCGCCGACTACGAGACACTCCCTAAGGTGCTGGGCGACAACCTTTTGGCCTCCTCTCTGGCGGGCCCCGTTTTCGATGAGTACGCCAACATGGATGGCAAGAAAGCGCCCAGCAAGGGCACGAGTAAGTCCTGCCACTCCCACGGCTCCTACACCTCGTACAGCAAGACGATGGCGGGCTTCGAGCCGCTGCAGCAGGGCAAGGCCAAGGGCAAGGGCTTCCGCTCTGTCATCCCCTGAGGCCGCCCTGCCACTTTTGTTTTCAGAGGCCTTCTGGAGGAATGGTCTTTTCCAGGCATTCCAGAGACACCAGAAGGCCAGAGCCTCCAGCTACAGAGGCTGAAGGCCAATGGGTTCGCCGACTTCGGAGCGGCGCACCTTCTGCCCATGAGTGAAAAGGCATGGGCTCGACGGACTGGACATCTTGACCGAGCCCATCTTGGCCAGGAGACGGGGAGCGCGGGGGCGGGCCAGAAAGTCGTCCTGTTCACCTCGACAGCCAGAGACCCAAGGTCAATGTCGTGTGCGGTATATATATATATATATACACGTGTATATACATATATAATAATATATATATATATATATATATATTATTATATTTATGTGTATGTATGTATGTATGTATGTATGTATGTATGTATGTATGTATGTATGTATGTATGTATGTATGTATGTATGTATGTATGTATGTATGTATGTATCTATGTTTGTGTATATAAATACTACACAGAGAAAACACAATGCGTGAATGGTTTGAATTGAAGAATTTTGCAGGTACCATGTCTGGCCGCAGTTTCGCCGTAGGGCCCAAAGAGGCAATAAATGCTGATGCCTCGTAAAGGTTAGAGGGGTTGTGGCATTCTCGCCTTTTCGGGCACCCGTCGGTTTGCAACGACCCAGGAGGCCTCCGAGATACATCGGTTGATTGAGATGGAGAGCGAGATCGATCATGAGATCGATGGTGAGCTCGATCGTGGGATCCCGAAATCGGCCCAAAACCAGTAACTGGGAACCTGGGAACCCGGGAACCGGAAACCCGGGAACCCAGCTGGCTAAAGAAATCGGCCCGGGACTTTATCCACATCTGTGAATTACATAAAGGAAAAAACCACAATCAGTGGATGGTTTCAAAAATCTGGCAGATACCATGTCTGGCTACAGTTTAGGCGTAGGGCCCAAAGAGGCAATAAACATTGATTCCTTGTAAATGTGACTAGGGTTGCGGTATTATTGCCTTTTCGGGCATCCGTCGATTTGGAACGACCTAAGAGGCCTCCAAGATACATCGAGTGAGTGCGATGGATGGTGAGATCGATGGTGAGCTCCATCGTGTGATCCCGAAATCGGCCCAAAACTGGCAACCAGGAACCCAGAATCCCGGAACCAGGAATCCAGGAACCCAGCTGGCTACCGAAATCGGCCCAGGACTTTCGCCATATATTTCAATCACACTCAGGAAAGAACCACAACCAGTGGATGATTTGAAAAATCTGGCAGATACCATGTCTGGCCGCAGTTTCGCCGTAGGGTCCGAAGAGGCAATAAGCACTGATTCCTTGTAAACTTTAAAAGGGTTATGGCATTCTCGCCTTTTCGGGCACCCGTCGGTTTGAAACGACCCAGGAGGCCTCCGAGATACATCGGTTGATTGAGAAGGAGAATAAAATCGATAATGATATCGATGGTGAGCTCGATCGTGGGATCCCGAAATCGGCCCAAAACCAGCAACCTGGGAACCGGAATCCCGGAACCGGGAACAGAGGAACCCAGCCGGCTATCGAAATCGGCCGGGGACTTGCGCCAAATCTGTTAATATCCGTTCGGACCCCTTCAGTGCAAGAACTGATTGGAGAATCTAAACAACTATACATATATATATATATATATACATACATACATTTTGATTCGACCGCCAAAGACCATTTCAATGTTGTGGGCCAGTCATGAAAGTATATATATATATAAATACATACACATACACATACATATATACATGCATGCGTACATGTATGGATGTATGCATGTTTATGTAAATGTATAGATACATGTGATACCGGAAGAAAAAACCCAATCATAATATTTGTAGGGCTACAGGGCTATGGGGCTATAGAGTTATAGGGCTGTAAAGCTGTAAGGCTCCGGGGCTATAGGGCTATGGGGCTACAGGACTATAGGACTATAGTGCTAGAGGGCTGAAGGACTATAGGACTATAAGGCTATAGGGCTACAGGGCCATAAGGCTATAGGGCTATAGGGGCTATAGGGCTATAGGGCTATAAGGTTTTAAGGCTATAAAACTATAGGGCCCTGGGGCTACCGGGCACCCCGGCACCCGCGCAACTGGGCACCGGGGCACCCGGGCGTGCCACCGAAATCGGCGCCACAGCTAACCTAATGATACCAGAGAAAAACCCCAATCATAATCTCTTTGAGGCTATGAGGCTATAAGATATAGAGCTACAGGGCTATAGGGCCATAAGGCCATGGGGCTATAGGGCTATAGGGCTATAGGGCTCTAGGACTATAGGGCTATAGGGCTCTAAGGCTCTAGGGCTCTAGGACTATAGGGCTATAGGGCTATGGGGCTGAGGGGCTATAGGGCTATAGGGCTATAGGGCTATAGGGCTATAGGGCTAAAGGGCCAAAGGGCTAGTAGGGCTATAGGACTATAGGGCTATTGGGCTAGAGGGCTCTTAGGGTTATTAGGGCTATAGGGCTATAGGGCTATAGCTATAGGGCTATAGGGCTCTAAGGTTATAAGGCTATAGGGCTATAGGGCTATTAGGGCTATCAGGGCTATAGGGCTATTAGGGCTATTAGGGCTATAGGGCTACAGGGCTATCAGGGCTATAGGGCTATATATATATATATATATATATATATATGGGGCTGTAGGGCTGTAGGGCTATGGGGCGATTACGCTATATAGGGCTATAGATCTATTGGGCTAGCGGGCACCCGGGCACCCGGGTACCCGAGCCGGACACCGAAATCGGCAGCCAACGAACCTCACCTAACCATATGAATCCGCTAGGACCCCTACAACGGCCAGCTCTGATTGGGGAACCATATGAGTCCGCTAGGACCCCTACAGAGGCAAACCCTGATTGGGGAATTTATGCATGCATGCCTGCACACATATGTGTATATGCACATGTCAATGCACAAATACACAAACAGATACACATATGAAAACATATAAATGTAAATATGTTTATACCTTTACATAGACCTACACATAGATTACATGTACTAATATATTCTCCAATCAGTGCTTGCACTGAAGGGGTCCTACCGGATATTGAAAGATATGGCGAAAGAGCAGCCAGTCGTAAGTAACATTTCCGCAGCGCGAGCTCAGGGAAAAAGACCAGTCTTAATTGACTGATAGGCGCGTCAGCGCGCCACGAAAATGTCACGAAATTCGGCCCGCAGATGCGGGCGAAAGCTGACGAGGAGGACCAAGATGACTTCCGATCATGAACAAAAACACGACGGGCGGTTTTTGATAGCTTCTGGCATGCAAGAGGCCAACACTGGTATTCGGGACCGTCAGAAAACAAGTCGGGATGAAGAACCGGTCCCCCGGAAGGGGTACAGACCCTGGGGAGGAGAGGCTCAAAGAGGCTGGAAGGGGTCCCACGAGTGCCTCAATCAAATACCAATGAACGGTGGAAGGCGTATGGTACTCTTCCTCTGGTTGTGGACGAGCCTATGGTGCTCATCCAAGGGGCCGATTGGCGCCTCATCCCAAGAAGAATTCTACGATGGCCTCGACTCGGGTGCGGGGTGGTATGCCATGGTGGTCCCCCTGTGCCAAACTCGTCCGTCTCACAGGGTCGACGGACCGGATCGGAAACGGATCGGACCGCCAGCGGATCGTCCAAATCGAACCGAAGGTGGTTCGCCGCGCCTGGGTCGGGGGGTCTGCATGCTGGCAGCCCCACACGAGGCTCCATTGGGCCTCGTGAAGGGGGCCTCGTCGAGGCCGCCTGCGCCCCCAGCGGGGCAGGAACTGGGGCGCCAGCTGCTGCCAAGGGCCATTTCTGGGCAGCGCGCGACGGCTCGTGAGCGAGCAGGGGGTCCTGCGCGGCGCCGCGGCGCCGCGTCACGCGACCCGCCGCGCCATGTGGCGCTCCGCCTTGGTCGGCCTGAGCGGCTCGGGGGGCTCCAGGCCCCGCTCGCGGCGCTCCTGGAGCTTGGCGAGACTCTCGATGACCTCGGCGGGGGGGAAGGCGCGAGGCCCTCCTCCTCTTCTCCTCTTCCTCCTCCTCCTCCTCTTCCTCCTCCTCCTCCTCCTCCTCCTCCTCCTCCTCCTCCTCCTTTTTCCTCCTCCTCCTCCTCTCCTCCTCCTCCTCCTCCTCCTCCTCCTCCTCCTCCTCCTCCTCCTCCTCCTCAAGCCCCTTTGGCCCTAGTTTTTGCAGTGCCAGAGACACCCTGTGCTGTTACCATCAGCGTGTATGCTTGAGAGCCCCCCCCATCGGGGGTTAAAGCAAGGTGACTACGATTTCTCGCTTGTGTCTCCTCGCATGGTTCCTCCTCCCTCGTCTGGCGCCGCCCCCTGGCAGCAGCACCAGCAGCAGCAGCAGCGTTCTGGAGGGTGGGCCACCGTGGCGGCTGGAGGCAGAACTTGGGAGTGTTCGGAGTGCGGGTGCAAGCGCAACAAGCTCGGTTGGTGTTTCTGCGATGCTGCAAGCATTGCAAGGCTGCGCGCAGGGAACATCAACAGTCGTACCCCTACGGCGGCGGCGGCGGCGGCAGCTGGCGCGAGTGGCCCCCCTTGGGCCAGGATCAGCGCCTGCCGCTGCGCTCGGGCCCCCGGTTCGCGCTGGAGCGCAGCGCGCAGGGTGGTGCCCAGGCGCCTGGCGATGGTGGGGCCGGCCGCGGCGCTGGCAGCTCTGGCGTGGGCCAGGAGCTTTCGGTGGTGTCTTCGCTCGAGTGCCCCGGGGACGTGGCCAGCGCCCGCCGCCACCGCGCTGTGCTCGAGAAGAGGAAACAGGCCCTCGTCCCCGTGGTGCCGTTACAGGCTCAGGTCAACCGAGCGTTCCACGACCTGCGCCAGCTTCGCGAGAAGACGGACAAGGCTTGCAATGTGCACGAGTGCATGGTGGCAGGTGTGGGGCCTCAGCGCGATCGCTTTCAGAAGCTCAGTAACCAGCTGCAGGAGGCTGAGACAGCCCATAACCAGTGGGTGCAGAAGCTTCATGCGGAGGCGGCTCAGTCGAGCCCAGCGCCCAAGCCCCTCGCCCCTGCCCTCCACGTACGCGACATCCTGCAGAGCTCGGAGCAGGATATCCCGATATCCATCGAGAGCTTGCTCAAGCCCCAGGACGATTACGAGATCACAGGGCAGGATGCTGAGGAGGCCGGGCGGCGGCCTGCTGAACTCACGGGATCCCTTCAGCAAGCAATTCGCAAGTTGTTTGGCGATGTCTCTGCCAAGCGTCGCAGACAGGAAGAACAACTAGATCACGTCGGCACCGCGGTGCCCGAGGGCGCCCCTCCCGACGGCGACGGCCAGCGAGCCCAGCCGGCTGAGGCGGCGGCAGCAGCGGCGCGCGCTCCAGCGGGGAAAGGCGGCGGCGTTGCTCCTCCCGCTGGCTCTCACGATGTCAAAGATCGCGCTGCTCAACTGTCGGCAAGGGAGGCCACCCCAGCAGCTGCCCGCGCGCGGGGGGGGGGCTTGAGAACACCAAGTGGTAAAGTGCCTGAGAGCCCCTGTGAGCCAGTTTGCAATAACTTCGCTGTAAGTCTTGCGCCGGTTGCCCCATCTCTGGCCCCGCGCAGGGGCCCGCATTTTTTTCCGCGGATCCAACGGAGGTCAAGGCCCCTGCAGACCTCGGGAGCACGGGGGCCACAGGAATAAGTTTTGACGCCAACATGTCGCCATCCCAGTTTCACTCCTGGGACTCTGTGGGCAAGCAATGGGAGGTCGTGCCTAGCACATGCCGGATGCGACCTCCAGCTGGCGAGCACTCCCTTCTGTCCTGTGTCAAATCAACTTTAGTTAGAGCCTCTGGCCTCCTGCGGGCTCGGGCTCAAGTTTTGGACGGGGTGCGCTCGGCCCCCGAACTGGTTTCGGCAAGAGTTATGTTTGTTCCTGGCGCGCCCAAGCCGGGTGTCTCTGAACCTTCCCGCCCCAAACATGCATGATCTAATGTGTTGGAAGCGCCTGTTGACCGGGCCATTTACAGTCCCGTCACTGCCAGTCCACGTGGGCCCCAGAGGCCAGATGATGGGAGCAAGCGCTCGGGGGCCCCCATGCTGGCGCCACTGGGCCCCGCCGACTTTCCCGTCGAAGACTTCCAGCCCATCATCGAAACTTGCAATGCCTCGGGATGGGGATCGGCTCAGAGACGGTTGTCTCGCACAGGCGCAACGGATGGAATTCCTTGTTTCTTCCAGCATGTGTTGGGCCAGGAGGAGGGCCACCGGCTGGCGCGGCGATCCTGGCCCGCTTGGGACTTGGTCTCTTCGCGCCGGCATCAGGCATGGAAGCGGCCCCGCAAATGGGCCATTGCTGCCATGAGCTGCCCGGCCCCACGATTGCCACGGCTTGTCCGATTCTAACCTACCCATCCTCTCCGCTGCTGCGGCTTGCATTGACGCCGCGGGCCCCCCTGGCGTGCTCGGTGGAGATTTCAACGTGGAGTTGTCGACGATCGCAGGCGCGGATCTCGACGACAAGCTCGGCCAGTGGATCGATCCAGGTGACGCCGCACGCAACTCAGTAGCGGGAGCCAAGGTGCACGATTTCTTTGTCATGACTCACGGGGTCGCGAAAGGGGTGGCCAAGGCTGAAATCCAGCAGGATAGCGACCTCTCCCCCCGCTCTCCTGCTCGCATCACCCTTCACCCCAGGCGTAATAGGCTGTCGGCGCTGAGCTTCGTAACCCCCCGCAACTCCCTGCTCAGCGCACACCCCCTGTTTCGGTCGTCCGCGAAATTCCTGCCTCGGGGGCCCCCGTCGACCGCGCGCTGCACCGAGCCCGGGAAGCTGTGGGGAAGGGGGACTTCGAAGTGGCGCATTCCCGCATCAATCTTATGTACAAGCCGAACACGAGGTTGCTGCTGCTACGGGCGCCGACCTGGTTTTCTTGGGCTCTCGTGGAAAGGGCCCCCAGATGCGCTGGAATAACATTATTGGGCCCGATTCCCAGAGCCCGAAGCAGCCTTTTCTGTTCGCGCACAGGCGGCTCACTCTAAGGAGCTTGCGGCTGCGACCTGCTGGGCTGCCCAGGACCTCCGCTGCCCCACCGACACGTCGCATTCGTGGCGCTCCCCGCCCCAGCGCATTGCCGATGGCCAGGCCTCTAGCCCTCGGCCGCTGCCGCATTTGCGCGAGGCGGGAGCCTGCATGACCAAGGCTATATATACATCTGGCGCGACGCTGCGCGGCCTGAAGCCCCCCCGGCACCTGCGGGCGCAGCGGCGGTGCCTGCGGCCCCAGGAGCCACTCTTATTTCGCGCGACCTGTCTGCATGGCAAGATCTTTTCGCCGCCCGCCCCAGCGAGGTCGAGGCCGACGCCGGGCAGCAGGCCGCGCGAGAATGGAACGAGCGGCCCCTTCATCGGGCCGACCAGGGGGCGACGCGGATCCACGCGGCCCCGGAAGGCCCCACCCCTCGGGCCCCAGCGACCCCTGTCCGAGGACGGGGCGGTCGTGGCGGACCCCCTGCGCCTGCTGAAAGCCGAAAGTCGACGTTTCTCGGAGGTCTGGAAGGATGGCCGCCTTGAACCTTGGTTCCCCGGGGGGGGGGGTCAGACAGCGCCCCCCCCCGCCCCCGCCTTCGAACAGGATGGCGCCCGCGCAATTTCTCGCAAGTTCCGCGAGAACGCGGCGGTCGCGATTGATGGGTTTTACATGCGCCATTTTTGACTGATGAGCGATGGAACCCTCTCTGCGCTTTGCGAGTTGCTTCCTCTCATGAAGAGGTCGGCGATCATCCCTTCTCAGATCGGCATCATCATCCTTTCCCTCATTGCCAAGCCCCCCTCTGGCTTCAGGCCCATTGGAATGCAACATTTGCAGGATGCATGGCAAGATCCGTCGACCTCTCGCTGATGCTTGGGAGCGACAGTTCACGCGTTCCCACTCCTGCGCTGGCCCCTTCGAGGGAGCTCGGGACGTTGTTCGGCGCCAAGCTGCGCAAGCGGAAGGCGGCACCGCGGGCGGGGGAGAGGCTGCCACCCTGCTCTCTGACATGTATAAATGCTATGAAACATTGGATATTCAGATGCTGGCGCCTCGATGCCACCAGACGGGCTTCCCACTAGGTGTTGCGCACCCCTGCATCGCCGTGCACTCCAAGCCCCGATTTTTGTCTTTGGGAGGGTTCGTGGATGGGCCCTGCTGGGCCATTCGAGGGGCGATAGCGGGATGCCCCCACGCCACCACCACTATTGGGGCCAACGCCACCCAGGACCTCGATGTGTTCGTCGCCCGTATCCCCCCACAAGTCCAGCTCGAGCTGCGCACCGACGACGGGGGGCTCGGGGCCACGGGCTCGCCTCGCGAAATTGCGCCCCCCCCCCCCCCCCCCCCCCCCCGGACTGCGCGTCAGTTGCGCGAGGTTTTGACGCAGGGGGCCAGGGCCCAAATCGGCAAGGAGAAATTGGCGCTCGTGGCTTCCTCGAGACCCCTGGGGAGAGCGTTGTCTCGTGATATGGGTGGCCTCGTTGGCCCAGTCCGCCACGCCTCCTCCGCCGTGAACCTCGGCGTGGACGACGCCGCGGACAGGCCCGCCTGGCGCCGGGAAGGAAAGCGAGGGCCAGAGAGCGGCGACGGCGTGCGCCAGTGAGAACTCACGAGCTTGCTCGACTGAAACCCTCGGTCAGCGGACAACGAATCAAACGCGTTCTCTTGGCGGGCCTGCTGCCTGGCGTTGCCTGCGGCTTGGAGATCGCAGGGGCCTCGGACTGGGGGGCCCTGCTCATCGGGAGGCTGGCCAGGAAAGCTCTTAAGCCGTCGGCGGGGGGGGGGGGGCCCTCGCCGCCCTTACGTTGCGCCACGGACACCCCCCTGCCGCGGCCTCCACTGCTCCTGTTGTTCGGTGGGCGAAGGAGGCGCAAGTCGCGCGCCGCCGATCGCCCCCCCCCCCCTCCCCTCGTTCGCCACGCTGAGAGCGGCTTGGGAAAATGTGCGTCGGAAGCCCTCTGGGCTTCGGAAATCTGTCGCGGGGCCCCTCAGCGCGATGCGCGAGACCTTGGAGCGTCCGTCTTGGACCATGCCCTCCTTCAAGGTCCGTAGGGGCGACCGTGGCTGCGATATCCACCTCGCGGAGATCCCACACACACACACACACCACTGCGGTTAGGGCCCTTCTCTCGCAGGTGAGCTCTCGCATTCTTGCGCGGGAGTTGGGCGCCTGTCACAACATGGGGAGGGCGTGCACTGATTGGGCCCTGTCTTGGCTTACTCCGAGGAAAATGTCCCTGTTGGATAAAAATGGCATTCGAGCTGTCTACTGCGATGCTGCTTGGACCCGGTCGAAGGCTCGGGACAAGGGGCATCACATAGAAGACACGCGCGAACTTTGCCTGTCAGCCCGCGACGCACTGAGGCACCGACTGCGCGGGCGGGCGCCCAGCCCGCGCCGACCTTTGGAACGAACTTGTGCCAGCTGAGGTCCGGGCATGGGCTGAGCATGCGGACGACCCGCTGGCGTGCCACGGGCTCTCTCATCCCCCGCCGAACGCCCTCCTCGCCCATTAGATGGAGAAGGGGTCATTACGGAACTCTGCGAAGGATATGAGCATCTCGACTTTGGGAGACTTCTGCGGCCACATTTTTGTCGACGGTTCCTCCCCTCGTCACCGCGCCAGCGAATTGACCGGGGCGGGGCGGGCCGCCACCTTGGTGGGCCCTGGTGCTTCTTAGGAAGTCATCCGCGTTGAGGGGGCGCGGGCGCCGGCGGCTCAGGCGCCGGCGCTGGAGGCGGGGCGGGCACAGCCACGGGCGGTGGCGGCGGTACCGTGCCGCGGATGGCGCCTCCCAGCCCGCGCTGCCGCGGGGTGCCTCCCGCTTCGGCCTCGCCCTGGCCTCCGGTTCCGTCGCCTCGACGGCCGGCAACCGACGCTTCGGCTGCAGGTCGAGCCCCTTCGGCTTCGCCTGCTTCAGCGCCTCCTCGGCGCACAGCAAGAGCCTGCCTTTCAGCGTGGCCGCCTGCAGCTCGCAGAGCGTCATGAAGCGCACTTCACGAGTCCGCACCTCGCGAGGACCCCAACGGCCTTGAACACCCCAGGGCCGCCGCGGCGTCCGCGCCCCGTGCAGCAGGTATCCATGCCCAGCTTCGGGCACCCACCCGGAGGCAACTCGAGCTGCAGCCCCGACTCCTCGGCGAGCTCGCGGAACGCGCAGACCAACTCGCTGCCGCCCGTCGGCTCCAGCCGGTCCTCTGGGAACTCCCACACAGGGTCGGAGCCGCCAACGCGACGGAGCGCCAGCACCTCGGGGATCTTCCCCCCGCGCAGCCGAGTCACCATGACCCCCGCAGCGGCGAGCGACGCCACGGCCGCGGGCTCCACATCGAAGTCGCCGGCCGCGGCGCCCGGTCGCGAGCCACCACGCGAGGCACGCCGCATGTGAGCTGGCGGCGGCGCAGCTGGTGGCGTCGGGCGCACCTCGTCCGCCGGCCGCGAACCCGCGGCGGGCACAGGGCGCGGCATCGCCGCCGCAAGCGGCGCCGCGCGCCGCGCTGGGCTCGGCGGGGCAGGGGCCGAGCCGCTCATGAGCAGCTTGACCCTTCATGGCGATAGATATAACATGGGGATCGACACAACTGCGCCACTGCTAGATCCACACTGCGCCCGCACTCCCATCATCATCACCATCATCAGCATCATCATCATCATCATCATCATCATCATCATCATCAGCATCATCATCATCATCATCAGCAGCAGCAGCATCATCATCATCATCATCATCATCATCATCATCATCATCATCATCACCATCATCATCATCCGCATCATCCGCATCATCATCATCATCAGTATCGTCATCATCAACATCGTTATCATCATCATCATCATCATCATCATCATCATCAACATCACCACCACCACCATCACCATCGCCAACAGCAATATCATCATCAGCATCATCAGCAGCAGGATCATCATCAGCATCATCATCACCAGCAGCATCATCATCACCCCCATTATCATACTCATCATCATCAGCAACATCATCATCGTCACCATCGTCATCTTCGTCATCAGCAGCAACATCACCATCACCATCATCGTCATCATCAGCATAACCAGCAGCAGCATTATCATTATCAGCATCCTCATCCTCATCCTCATTATCATCATCACCACACTCCACATCTCCATCCCCATGATCATCCGCATCTACATCATCATCATCATCATCATCATCATCATCATCATCATCATCATCATCATCATCTCCAACAACACTATAATCAACATAATCGTCGTCATCATCAGGAGCAGCAGCTTCATAATCACCATCACCATCATCACCATCACCCTCACCATCACAATCATGATTGTCGACGTCGTCGCCAGCATCGTAATCATGACCATCAGCATTCGTCATGACCAGCCATCGTCGTCATCATCATTATCAGCAGCAGCAACAGCAACAGCAACAGTAACAGCAACAGCAACAGCAGCATCATCATCAGCAACAGCATCATCACCATCACCATCATCATCACATCCGCAGCAGCAGCCTTAACCCCCTCCTGCCCTTCCTCGCAAGCATCGACAATGCTATCGTCGCCATCACAGTCCTCCTCATGTAGAACACCGCCGTCGTGATCCCGACCTGTCTTATCCTCCGCCCGCATCCTCGTGCTCGCAGTGCCCCTCCTGCTCTTCCTCCTCCTCCCCTCCACCTCTTCTCCTCATCCTTGCGCATGGCGCTGGGATCCATCGGAAGGCGCGATCGTCATCCGCATCACCATCATCGGCAGCCGCGTCATCGTCACCACCCGAGCCTGCGGATCCACGCACTTCTCCCCCTTGGCCACCGGGATCGCCACGCTGTTGTAGTAGCGCACGCCCTGGTCCACGGTGGCGCTGTATGCGTTCTTCATCTCGGTCCTCTCTGGGGGGTGAAACCGCCACTTGACGTCCTGAAAAACTCACAGCGGGAAGACTGCGGCGGTGTTCGGCCTCGCAAGGCCCTCACGGGGCCCCGGGACCGTCAAAAACTGCCCCGGAAAGGGGTCTAGAACTCCAGGGGTCTACGCTGCCAAGATACATAATGCCAGAGCTTTCGGGATGAGGAGCAGGAGGAGGAGGAGGAGGAGGAGGAGGAGGAGGAGGAGGAGGAGGAGGAGGAGGAGGAGGAGGAGATGGAGGACGAGGAGGAGGAGGAGGAGGAGGAGGAGGACGAGAAGAAGGGGGAGGAGGGGGAACAGAGAGGGAATGAGGAGGCGGAGGAGGGGGAGAACGAGGAGGAGGGGATGGGGCAGGAGGGAGCTTCGTGCCCTTCTGCCCCCCCCCCAGCCCAGGGGCAAACAAGCTGCTGCACAAGCGTTCCGCGCTGGTGACTCAAGACGCGCGACTCAAGATGCCAGGTCAGGGACACCCTGCCCCTCTTCATTCGCAAGGAGGAAAACGTGGAGGAGGAAGAACTTTGAGTTGCCCGTCTGCGCTCGCGCAGCTCCCCCCGAGCTCGCTCTTCGGGGGGGGGGGGGGGGGGGGGCGAGGGCTCAGAGCAGGGAGGTACTCCCCCCCTTTTCGCTCCCATCTTACCTATCCTCGTCCTCTTGCTCGCCTGTCGCTTGGATTCGGGACCCCGCCATAGGGATCCCTGCATGTCGAGAGCCGTATGCCACGAGGCGTGAGGGAGAGATAGAGAGACAGGAAGGGAGAGAGAGAGAGAGAGAAGAAAGAGCGAGAGGGAGAGAGAGAGAGGGAAGCAATACAGAAAGAGACAGACAAAGAGACATAGAGAGAGAGAAACGAGAGAGATAGAGAGAGAGGGATATGGAAAGGGAGAGAGAGAGAGAGAGAACGGGAGAGGGAGACAGACAGAGAGAAGAGAGAGAAAGAGAGAGAGAGAGAGGCAGAGAGAGAGAGAGCGAGAGAGAGAGAGAGTGAAAGAGAGAGAGAGAGAGAAAAAAAAAAAAAAAAGAGAGAGAGAGAGAGAGAGCGAGAGACACCCGGGTGCGAACCACTGCTGTCCATTGACATCGCTGGCGATCTGGGCCTCTCGCTGAGGGGGGAGCCGGGAGACGGGCTGCGAGCGCAGTGGGCCCCGTTCCATCCTAGTCGGCCTGAACAAAAGCAACAGCAGCGAAATCCGAGACAAGATAAGCAACATATTGCATAGATGGAGTAACAGAGTCCGGAGATGAGGATGACATTAAAAACTCTCAGGGTGGAAACGAAAGAAACAGAGAGAGAGAGTCTGTGTGTGTGCGTGCTGACAAAAAACGTGCGCACGTATCTCATCCCCTCAACAGCTTTGTTGAGGATGGGATGCTCCTGTGCGCGCTCGCGACGCTCGTGCCCCAGCCCCCTCACACCTGCCCCGGCCGCGCCCGAGGCTCCCTCCTCGCCTCCATCCCCACGCCGCCCCCTAACAAGGAGAAAGACGGCATGCTTCGCGTCCGCAACAATCCCGCTGTGCGACAATGAGCGTCGGGGCCTCGCGCCGCGACTGAAATCTCGCACGACGCCGGGGCCGGCGCGCGGCGCCACACAGGCGACTGGGCGGCGCTCGAGCGCGCGGGGACGAACTCGCTCGTCGCATCGGTGGCGGTCTCGGAATGCGTTTCTCGCGCGGGGATCATCGCTCCGCGAGGGAGGTGGCGCCTCGCTGCGCGACTGGGCGCGCGCTCACGGCGCTCGGGGGTCTGGCGATGCTCGAGGCTTCGCCCTGCTGTTCAATTTGCAGCACAGGCGGTATGTGCCGCGCGCGCGTCGAGGCGGCGGCGCAAGTGCGCCGCATCGGCGAAGGTCTCAGAACGCGATTCCTCGCGGTGGGACTCGCGCGCGGGGCCAGGCAGACTCCTTGCGCGACTGGGCAGCGCCCGAGCGCGCGGGGAAGGGACTCGCGCGTCGCGTCGGCGGCGGTCTCGGCACGCGATTTTCGATTTTCGCACGGGGGTCGCCAGGCGGCGCCGTCGCGTTGGCGAAAGTCTGGGGACGCAGTCTCTTGCGCTGGGGTCGGCGCGCGGCGCCAGGCAGACTCCTCGCGCGATTGGGCAGCGCTCGAGCGCGCCGGGGGGGGGGAACTCGCGCGTCGCGTCGGCGGTCTCGGCGCGCGACGTTTGCGCGGGTCTCGGCGCACGGCGCCAGGCAGCTTCCTCATGACACTCTTGCTGCTCGCGCTGTGGCGCCCCCCGCGATTCGTGACTCGTCGCGGCGTATCGAGGGCTTATAGAAGGAAAGGCGTCCTTGGGGCCAAGCCTTGTTGGGAGGGACCCATTTGTACTACGCAAGCACTGCTCCACATGCAGTGGCACCGTGCGCTTGCACCCGCCGCACGCACGTGTGTTGCCTGGCATGTGATGATACTTTACTCGTTACCAAAGACGATGAGTCACCTCGGCTAAATGCCAAGCGTGGGATCCCGAGCTAAAAGAAAGGTCAAACTGGACCAATATCGAGAAAACGACAGGTTGAGCCAAAATGGCTTGAGCAAAGGCAGCTGCGAACCCTCCTCCTCCTCCTCCTCCTCCTCCTCCTCCTCCTCCTCCTCCCCCTCCTCCCCCTCCTCCTCCTGGTGGTCCTTATGTACTCCCGCTCCAACTTCCGGTCGGACTTCTGCCTGCTCTTGGCCGCGCGCCTGCTGGAGCGCCGCTTGCCGCCGCCAGCCTCGGAAGGTAGGAGGAGGCACACGGGAGGAAGCTTCGGAAAGGAGGGGAGGCAGGAGAAGGAGGCAGAGGATCGGATGGACTCGGCGGGAGGGGACGTCAGAAACCACAGCGCTGTCTGGGGCCCCGCATGAGGCCGCGAGTTTGGAGAACCACGATCCAAAAATAGGTTTGGCAGTATTTGTATGCCGCCCTGCCTGATGGCGAAAAAAATCCAACCACCCTGGAGGCGAAGGAGGGAGGAGGGATGGCGGATCGAAGAAGAAGAAGAAGGACAAACAATAAGAACATACAGAAAAACGTTCGGAGGTCCGCGCAGATTTCTTGGATCGGAGCTGACGCCACTGGCGGCGCCTCTGGCGCCGCCCATAGCGCATGCCCCGCACGCCACGGAGGGATGTGCCAGCACCGACCCCAAAAACCGCGCGGGCCTCCGAAAAATATACGTTCACACGTGCTCCTCAGTCGATTTACCTTTGTACCGATCCTGGCCAGGCGACCACATTGGGTCCAGGATTCATGCATACGCCCTCCTGCCAAGCCCAGGCAGGCATTATGCGCAAGCCCTGGGCACAGGATCGGCGGCGCGCAAGCATGGATCGGGGGGGGTGCCCTTTCCAAAATGCGGCCGGTGCCGCCTCGTTCGGCGGCGAAAATCCGCGATTTCCCGCGGAAACGGGACCCATCGCTAACCCACGCCCCCTTGATCCATGTTTGCGATCGCCTGACAGGATCGGCTCCTGTCAGCCTAAGGCTATGTTTCTGTGAAAAAAGGTGTTTGCTCCTCTAGGGAGGAGAGAAGAAGGAGAGAACAAGATAGGGGAGGGAGGAGAGCGGAAGGAGCTCGTCCGCTTCGTTACACCATGATACCATTATCTTCTCTCCCCCATTCCTTCTTCTCGTTCTGTCTATCGTCGTCGTCTTCGCCGCCGTCGTCGTCATCGTCAGCATCGTGACAGCTGTCTTCACAGTTGTCGTTACTTTCATAATAGTCGTCGCCGTCGTTGGCAGCATCACCAAGATCATCAACAACGTTCCCGCCTGATACGTCCTCAAAGTGAATGTGTGCGCGTGTGAGTGATGATGATGTGAGTAATGATGACGATGTAAGTGATGCTGATGATGCTTGTGATGTGAGTAGTAATGATGATGACGATGTGAGTGGTGATGATGATGATGATGAGGGTGGTGGTGGTGATGATGGTGTGAATGATTGAGTGAATGATGATAATTATGTAGTGGATTATGATGAAGAGGTTGGTAGTGCTGTGATGGTGATGGTGTGTGACTCATTGAGTGAGTGAGTGTGCGAAGGGAGAAGAGCTCATGAGGTCTGTATCGATTCATTGAGTGAGTGAGTGAAGACGGTGATGATGATGATGACGATGATGATGATGATGATGATGATGGTGATGATGATGATGATGATGATGATGGTGACGATGATGCGTGTGAGTGGGTGAGTGGGTGGGTAAAGGAGTGATGATGATGAGTGAATGTGAGTGCGTGGTGTGTGAGCGAGTGAGCGAGTTTCTAAATTATGATGATGATGGTGATGATGATGATGATGATGATGATGATGATGATGATGATGATGATGATGATGTGAGTGTGTGCGTGTGTGAGTGAGTGAATGTGTATGTGGTGAGTGAGTGAGTGAGCAGAGAGGGGGTGTTCCTGTTTCTGTGTTCCTGCGCGGGGTGTCTGGAGAAAACAAGAACCTCACTTTGGATGTGGGTGTTCCTGAGTTCCTGCGCGGGGAGTGCAGAGATAACAAGAACCCCACTTTGGATGTGGGGAAAAGCACACGCTCAAAAGAATCAACGCTGCCCCCGAAGGCCACGCGAGCCTCGAGCAGCTCCAGCGCACGCTCCCTGTCCTCCCGCGACACGCCGCCAGCCCCCGCGGCGCCGCAGGCGTCGACCGTGGAGGCCCTGCTGAGCACCTGCTGGCAGGGCGCCAGGTCTTCTCGCCTCGGGACGCTGTCCAACAGCTGCTCCTCGCCGAGAGCGTCCTGGGGGTGCCAGGATCGTCCCGAACGGCCGCCAGAGGCCTGGGCTACGGCCGGGGAACTCAGATCACCGACAATATGACTTGTTCAGCCGGCGATGCTTGCTCGATCTGGGCCTCTGGAGCCCGATAGCGGGCCCCAGGGCCACCACAAATGGATCCCGGGCAGGAACCTTGCCCCTTGGGAAAGGGTCGGGATCTCTGGGGCCGTGCATTGAAAAAATCAGACCGTCGGATGCCTGGGGAGGGGGCGTCCAAGAGGGGGTGCAGAAATCATGGTCCGAGGGACGTGCGGGGCCCAGGGCGTACCAAGAGAAACATTGAAATGAAGAGAGGCGGCACCGAAATCCAAGGGAGATCTCATGCCCCTGGCCACGATCTCCACTCGCCCCCCTGGTCATCCCCCCTCTCCTGACCGCCCCCGGTATCCCGGAGATCCGGACGTTGCAGTGTTTCCACGCCGAGCGTTTTCGCCCAGTCTCGGGCCCGGGACCCTCACTGGTCGATCCACTGGGGCTCTAGTCTTGACTTCTCACGATGCTGCAATTTTGTCCGTGGCGTCGGATCTCAGGGTACACCGATCCTGGCATGGCTCATCCTGGGGCCAAGTAGGTCCACATAGAGGCCTCCCAAATGTGATCCGAATAGATGGGTTCCGAGGATCGCGCCGCAACGCCGATGGATCGGCGATGCATCGGCGCTGCATCGGCGACGTCGACGTTGCCTCGGCGCCGTGGGCGCGGGGAAAATCAGACATCGCGCTCCACATCCAGGGAATCGGACTCCACATCGAGCCGCATCCCCGATACCTCAGCACTGCGGCACGATCATCCGACCGCACCTGCACGGACCGTACCTGCGACGCCCTCCTGGCTTGGCCGTGCGACATGGTTCTTGCAGTGCGCGGCCCTAGAGGTCTCGGCCCCTTCCCCCAAGGAAAGCCTGTCGCCCAGGATGCATGTTCTATGGCTCCGGGGCCCGATGACGGGCCCCAGAAGCCCAAACAGCGGAAAAAATGCCTGTCGACAAAAAAAGAATGTCGTCGCGCCGTGTGTCCTCGACGCGCCCAAGTGGACGACGCCGACACCACGGCAAACCCAGGGCAAACACTGCGTCGCGAGCCCCAAGGAGACGAGGCAGGCAACGCGGCACTGCAAACCCACGGCAAACCCACGGCAAACCCGCCGCGCCCGAGGCGGCGTTTGCCCTGGTGCCCGCGGCGCAAGGCCGCGCGCCGGAACAAACGGCGCGGCGACGTCTCGTCGGAGGCCTGGGTGGCGCCGAGCCCAGGCCCAGAGGAACGGCAGGGCCAGGGCTCGGCGCGCAGGTGTGCGCAGGCGTGGCGCCCTCCGAGCCACCTGCGAGTCGGAGAGCCGCCCCTCCAGCTGCTCTCCTGCGGCGGGCGGGCCGGGCCCGCCCCCGGGGCTCGGGAGGTATAGGGCGACGAGATCTATACACGTCCTCTGCTCCCTGGCCAGGCCCATCCTGAACCCAGCAGCGGTGTAAACGCCACGCCCTCCTGGCACGGCCAGGAGGGCGTATGCACAGCTCCCGGGCTCAGGATGGGCCTGGCCAGGAAGCAGCGGACATGTATACATCTCGTCGCCCGAGAGAGGGCAGGAGGAGGACACAGGGCAAGATCTTGGCGGCGCGCTCAGGGGGGTATGGGGGAAAGGCTTCTTAGCCGGAGGCTGCTTCTTAGAAGGCGCCGGCATCACGTCTATAGATGAGGCCCGCACCACTTAAGAAGGAGGGGTGCTTCTAAGAAGACTTCCCCCTTTCCCCTAACCCCCCCTCTGCGCGCGGCCGACAGATGGAGGACACAGAGCAGGATCGCTCAGCGTCGAATCGGGACATCGGGTCGGATCGGAACGCGCGCTGGACCAAGTCGGACATCGGCACGCGTGGCCGAGGCCGAAGCGGATCGGCCGCGCCAGGATGCACAACAACTCCCTGCCCGGACATGCGATGTCCTGGTTTTTTCAACACGGGGTCCCCAGAAGTCCTGACCCTTTCCCCAGGGCCGGCCTTTGTTTTGGACGCCCACGGGGCCTGGACGACGGCCCCCAGAAACCGATAACGGCAAAAACCCTCCGTCGTAGTTTTTTGTTCGCGACGTGCGCATGTCTGGGTGCGAGCATCGGGCCGCGTCGGACCTTCGGAACATCGGAATTGGATCTGACCGGGCCGGCCAGCAGGGACGACCATCGAGGCCGTGACCGAATCGGCTCGGAACGGACACTGCGAGGCTGGGGCCCGAGAGCTTGGCGCCGTGGGCAAAACTCGAGGCGGGAGGTCTCGTATAGACAACTCTCGGCATCTGGGAGCCCTCGCCCTGGACCCCCTCGCGCTGTGAAAGAGCTTCTTTGCCGCGGCACGGCAGAGGCGATCCGCACGAGCGCTCGAGTTGCAGGGGGCGCTCGGCAAACTAAAACTGTCCGGCTGCAAGAGGGGGCGCGCGCGCGGAGGAGGAGAGGCCGCAGAGGACAGGGGAGGGAAGGGCACGCGCCGCAGGAAGCGACGACGGACGTGCTCTGCTCGTCTTCGGCCTCGCCGGGCCCCGGGTCCGAGGGAGCCCCGGCAACGTCCTGCACAAGACGCTGGCACGGGGAGGGCCTCATCGCGGGCGCCACGAGGAATGCGGAGTGCGCCACTGCGGCATGGCGGGTTTTCAGCGGCTAATCCCCCGACGGATTAGCTAGTCTGGGGAGGTTACGGACGAGGGTACGGGGATGGGTGATGAGGGGTGGACGTTGCAGGGCACGTGAAGGGCATATTGCGGTTTCCCCCGCTCCCCCCCGTCCATCAGCTCGTCTCTATCTCCTCTTGCTTCTCTTTCATATTTGCGTGCGTGAAGGCCGAACCCCAGATAGCACAACGTCGCCTGCATTGTGTCTTAGCTCAGGGGCACGATAAGGGCGCGCATATTTAGGCGCGTGAATAATACCCGACCGCCCCTCCGGCGCGGGTTGAGACTACCCGTCCAGGTCTGGTCATCTCGGAGACTCTGGTCCTGGGGTGCTCCCTGCGCCTGCAAGGTCGAATTCGTGAGCCACATCGTTTTTCTCGTAAGCAGACGGTGGGGAGAATATGCATGAGCAAAATTAGTTGCCAGGGTTTGAACTGGCGCCTCATGAACCATGGACCGAAGCTGCGCCAGGTGCTCTTGGATGCGCGGCGTTTCGATTGGGAGGTTTCCTGTTTGACCGAGCTGCACGGTGAAGCGTGTGACTAGGAGTTGCCGCAAACCGGCGTCCAAATCCCACCAGCCCTCTGGGCGACACGTGGTCTAACGAGATTCCTCTTCCCTCCTCCACAACCCTTTCTTCCCCTTCGGGGAAGCGTTCATCTCTGCTCCCTATTAATAAACACCCCCTCCCCCAGGCGACTGGTAGCCAACCAGGAACCGTGAGGGCACCCCCCCCACCATCCCTTATTAAAAACCATACAAAACAGACTCTGCCTCCAAATTCGGAGCATGCGCAGCCAACCCGATGCGGCCTCACCCCACCATCCCTGTCAAAAAAACAATACAGAGTACACTTGGCGGCGGCGGCGGCTGCGGCGGCTGCGGCGGCGGCGGCGGCTGCGGCGGCTGCGGCGGCGGCGGGGGCGGTGGCGGCGGCGGGGGCGGCGGCGGCCGCGGCGGCGGCGGCGGCGGGGGGGGGCGGCGGCGGCGGTGGCGGCGGCGGCGGGGGCGGCGGCGGCGGCGGCGCCGGCGGCAGCGGCGGCGGCGCGGCGGCGGCGGAGGCGGCGGAGGCGGAGGCGGCGGCCACGGCGGCGGCGGCGGAGGCGGCGGCGGCGGCGGCGGAAGCGGCGGCGGCGGCGGCGACGGATTCGCCCCCAGTAGCTGCCCATCCAAAGACGACTGCTGAATATGCTGAGGCTCGGGCCAGACTCGGATGCTACGTATGTGTTGGGAGGGCGGGTGGGAGTGAGCGAGACGGCTTGCGGGCGGGGAGGGCGTCTTGATCCCTCTCCCTACCCCCTCCCCTGGGCCTGGACGGGGTGTTCCGCGACGGGTTGGAGCGTCCAAGATGGCCCAAGATGGCTCCAAGAGGGTCTCCGATGCTCCAAGATGGCCTCCAAGACGGCTCAAGACAGCCAAAGATGCTTCAAGACAACTTCTGACATGCCGCAAAGAGGCCACACGAGGGCCACAAAACGGTTCCAGGTGCCCTCAAGCACCCCTCAGGACCTCCCCGAAAAGCCAACATCCTTCAAGAACCCGAGGTAAATCAACGATGCTTCCCTCGCCTTTTCACTTCCGATGCGCTTCTGAGGCCTCGATGGCCCCAAAAATTGCCCAAGAAGGCCCCAAGAGGAGCCCAAGCGGCCCCCTAGACGGCCCCAAGAACGCCCAAGAGCGCCCCCAGAGGGCCCCTAAGAGCGCCCCAAGAGACGTTTTTGAGGGCCCCAGAAGGGCGACGGAGATAAAGGACCCCCCCTCTTTTGATCGATAGCCTCCAAGATGGCGCCACTTTCCAGCCCGTTGCCGCGCGTTGCCAGCCATTGCCGCCTGTAGGGATGCCCCGAGGATTCGCCACGTTTCGGCCAACTGCCGCTCGTTGCCAGCCGCTGCTGCCTGTGGGGATGCCCCGAGGATTCGCCACGCTCTGGCCCGTTGCCGGCCATTGCCGCCTGTGTGAGTGTCCCGAAGATTCGCCATGTTCCATCCCGTTGTCGCCAGCTACCGGCCATCGCCGCCTGTGGCCCGCTACCCGCCATCGTCGCCTGTGGGGGGTCCCGAAGATGCGTGCTTACTCTTCGAAAAACGGCCGCGGAGACGCTTGCATCACGTAGCTTACGCATCCACATGCAGTGCCATAACTTACTCTTTGGGCCCCAGCTGGCAAACATCTTGACATGAGAAATCTTGGCGCACATTCTTCGTCACCCTTTGAGGCTCCTGAGATGCCCAGAGTCCCTGTGGACCCCTGGTCCCTGGGACCCTCGGGGGGATAAGGAAAATCCATGAACTGGCGGGCAAACTTTTTGTGTAGGACTTTCGACCGGCTGGCTGTCCCAGCGTGGCGCGCAGCTGCCGCCGGAGGCCGACCAGCAGGGCGTCGTAGCCGTCCAGCTCGCTCTCGTCGCTGTTGTGCTCTCCCCCCACAGGGACCTCTCGATCCCCTGGCGCCGCGCCATCGGCGCCGTCGCCAGCGGCGGCGCCAGCGCCGTCGAGCTTGCACTCGTCGCTGCTGCGCCCTCCCTCGGCAGGGGCCTCTCCACCTGCTCGCTCCGCGCGATCGGCGCCGCCGTCCGCGGCGGCGTCGGAGCCGCCCTCCTCCCGCGCCCCGGGGCCCCCGGCGGCGACCTCCGCGGGAGCGGCCTCATCCGGGGCGCTGTGGCCGGCGGCGCCCTGAGGCGGAGCGACCGCCGCGGACCTGGCCCTGCGCTGCCTCTGGGGGATCCTGCCGGGGGGCGGCAGCGAGCGCGCCCGCTTGGGCGCGGCCGCCCCGACCTCGGCCGCCGCGCAACGAGCGGGGGGCCCTGCCGCCAGGAAGCTGGAGGCAGAGATGGCTGGGATCACAGGCGGAACATCGGGAGGCCGCGTGCTGGATACACGGGCGGAAGCCGGCCGTTCAGGGCCATGAAAGGGCCGAGCGCAGGAAAGACACGTGGTCACACGAGCGACGATCAGAAACGGGTCTTACGCGAGACGGCATAGCGACCTTACGCGGGGGCGTACGCGGGCCGCCAGCGCGGCACGCTACATGGGAGACGAGGGCGCTCACGCGCGACCTTGGCAGTTTACGCACCACTGTCGGCGCAGTCACGGCTCTCGCCGCCCAGGCCAGACGCATGATGCGCCCTGAGATCCAGCGTTGCGAAAGAACTGCGACATCGCGAAAAAGTCACCACCAGAGCCCTTGACCTCCCTCTCTGTGCGTAATGTCTCCAGCCCGATCCATCTGTGATGGTCCACGGGCCCAAAACAGGGCGAAGACGCCCGTTGTGACAAAAGTGCATCGCCCAAATCTCGGGGTACATCCAGCTTACTAAAATGTTCTAAGGACAAAACACTGTTCTTAGAACATAAACCCGATGTGTAAAACAAGACAGTCCCAGAACATCGTCGGGTAGGCCTATAGGCACGCCAGGACGCTTCGCCACTGCTTGAGCGTGCGCCGAGTGCGCTGGCCACCGCGCGCCGGCCGCGGCGGCAGCGGCCCGCGTGCTCTCGGGCCGGGCCACCATGAGGGCACCCCTCCCGAAGGCCGCGCGCTGGAGGCCACTCAAGGCGAAGGGCAGGCTCGGTCGGCACCAAATCGGGAGATCGGACCGACTATAAGGGCGCGCGTCGGACCGGGCCACATCGGCACGGAGTCGGAATCGCATCGGAGCGGCCAGATACTGTTTCTTACTATTTCGGGTGACGGTCGCTGCCTGGGTGGGGGAGGGTTTGGGGCCCTTGGCAACGGCAACGCTTGGGCAACGGGGATGCGCTGGGATCGCCATCATAGTATGCGCGCGAGCACATGCATGTGAGGGGGGGGGTCTATCCCCTCCCACACGTACGACCGTTACCATTACCAGGGGGGAGAAATTGGCCAGACCGTTCCGCTCGATGCAGGCATCCGGCCGCATCGGATCGCCGGGCGATTGAAATCGAGCTGGCCCGAGCCGGATTACCCTTAAAGTGAGGCCGAGACCTCCACGCTGGGGAACTCGTCCTGCGAGTCTACGCAGGAGGCCTCGAGGACCGTCGCGCGCGCCGTGCCATCGCCGCAGCCTTCCGCCGCGGCGCCGATGGGCCGCGCGACCTCTCTGGGCGCGTCGATGGCCTCTCCCCGCCGCAGGATGCGCACCTCGCCGCAGAGCCTGCCTGGGCCACCTGTCAGGAGGGCGCGCCAGCCGTGCAACCGCACCGACCCTGGCGTGGTCCTGGGCCCAGGGTCGGCCCGGCCAGGAGCTGTGCAGGTGCGTTCCCGTCGGCACGGGAGAAGCGCGACCCGAGGGAAACGAGCCCTGAACACCGCTCCTTCTCCAGGAAACCGCTCCTCATCCCGAGCCGCCTTTTGACTGCCCCGGGACCCCGAGCAGAGAGCGAAAACTGCCCAAAACCTCCTGGCCCGCTCCCGTCGGGGTCCGCCTCCCAGACATCCGACGGCACGAGTTTTCAACGCGCGGCCCCAGCAGAGGTCCCGACCCCTTCCCCGGGGCCAGTTTTTCACCCCAGATCCATGTCTGGTGGCTCCCGGGGCCTGCAGCGGGCCCCGAGATCCAAATCGAAGAGAAAACGCGAGTTGAACAGAACAATGGACAGCTCGCCCCTTGGCCCCCCGCCAGCCCAACGCCAAGGGGCGAGCATATATACGGGCGCGGCACCGCACTGCATGCGTAGCCTTCGGCTGGGCCAGGCAGAGCAAGACCCAACACTGCATCGCGTGGCGCGTGGATGTCCGCACCGACCACGAATCCTCTCAGGCCCTACCTCCGACCCCCCATTTTGCCACCTCCTCTTCGTCCTCGTCCTCCGTCCTCCCTCCCACCCATCCCCAACCGTCGTCCAACTCCTCCGGTTCCTCCTTCCGCCGCCTCCTCCCTCTCCTACTCCCTCCTCGTCTTCCGCCTCCTCCGCCCTCCTCGTCGTCCACCTGCTCCTCCTCGTCCGACGCATTCCCCCTCCTCCTCCTCCTCCTCCTCCTCCTCCTCCTCCTCCTCCTCCTCCTCCTCCTCCTCCTCTCCCTCCCCTCCCCCTCCTCCTCCTCCTCCTCCTCTCCTCCTCCTCCTCCTCCTCCTCCTCCTCCCCCACCAGTGTCCCTCCCCCAAGTCACGCCGCCCTCCTCGCTCCTCCCTCCTCCTCCTCCTCCTCCTCCTCCTCCTCCTCCTCCTCCTCCTCCCTCCCTCGTCCTCCTCCTCCTCCTCCTCCTCCTCCTCCTCCTCCTCCTCCTCCTCCTCCTCCTCCTCCTCCTCCTCCTCCTCCTCCCTCTCCTCCTCCTCCTCCTCCTCCTCCTCCTCCTCCTCCTCCTCCTCCTCCTCCCCTCCTCCTCCTCCTCCTCCTCCTCCTCCTCCTCCCTCCTCCTCCTCCTCCTCCTCCTCCTCCTCCTCCTCCTCCTCCTCCTCCTCCTCCTCCTCCTCCTCCTCCTCCTCCTCCTCCTCCTCCTCCTCATCATCATCATCATCATCATCATCATCATCATCATCATCATCATCATCATCATCATCATCATCATCATCATCATCATCATCATCATCATCATCATCATCATATCATCATCATCATCATTCATCATCCGCCTCCTCCTCCTCCTCCTGCTCTCCTCCTCTCTCCTCTCCTCTCCTCTTCTCCTCCTCTCCTCCTCCTCCGTCTTCTCCTCCTCCTCGTCCTCTTTCTCCTCCTCCTCTCCTCCTCCTGCTGCTGCTGCTGCTGCTCCTCCTCCTCCTCCTCCTCCTTGATCCTCCTCCTGATCCGCCTCCTCCTCCTCCTCCTCCTCCTCCTCCTCCTCCTCCTCCTCCTCCTCCTCCTCCTCCTCCTCCTCTCATTGTTATGATTCATTATTGTTATGTTTATAATCATCCTCATCCTCCTCCTCCTCCTCATCCTCATCCTCCTCCTCATCCTCCTCCTCCTCATCCTCCTCCTCTCCTCCTCCTCCTCTTCCTCCTCATCCTCCTCCTCATTCCTCCTCATTCCTCCTCCTCCTATTATTATAAACTCCTCATCCTCATCCTCCTCCTCTCATTATTATTAGTAGTATTATTATCATTAATATTATTATTATCAGTATTATTATTAGTGTTAGCAATATTATGATTATCAGTATTATTAATATTATCACTATTGTTATGAGTATTATTAGTATTATTATTATTCTTAATATTATTATTAGCATTAGTATTATTGTTATTATTAGTATTATTATTAGTATTATTATTGTTGCTAGTATTATCAGTAGCAGTATCATCATTATTGTTTTTAGCAGTATCGCTAGTATTACTAATATTATTAGTACTATTATTATCAGTATTACTATCATTATTATTATTAGTATTGGTAGTAGTAGTAGTAATAATAGTACTATTATCAGTATTATACTTATTATTATCATTACTATTATTCGTATTATTTGTAGTAGTATTATTGTTATTATTCGTAGTAGTATTAGTATTAGTATTATGATTAGTAGTATTGTTGTTCGTCTTACTAGTAATAGTATTAGTATCATTACCATTCGTGGTATTATTAGTCTTGTTAGTATTAGTCGTATTCTTATTATTCGTCGTATTCGTCGTACTATTCTTATTATTATGATTCGCATTCTTAGTTGTATTATTGTTCGTCGTATTGTTCGTAAAAGTCTTATTCGTATTAGCATTATTACTGTAATCTGCGTCGTCGTATTCTTCTTATTCGTATTCGTCTTATTATTAGTAGTGTCGTTCTTTGTCTTCTTATTAGTAGTATTATTCTTATTATTATGAGTATTTGTCTTATTCTTCTTATTCGTATCATTATTCGTCTTATTCGTAGTATTCTTCTTATTATTAGTATTATTAGTATTCCTATTCGTCTTCGTATTCTTAGTATTATTCGTATTAATATTAGTATACAGCTTCTTCTTCGTTTTATTATTCCTAGTCTTATTATTTGTAGCAGTGTTCTTCCTAATCATGTGTTTCTCCTTCTTCTTCTTCTTCTTAAGATTATTATTCTTATTATTAGTAGCATTATGAATATGATTATGATTCGTCTTCTTCTTCTTCGTCGTCTTCGTCTTCTTAGTATCCTTCTTCTTCCTCCTCCTCCTCCTCCTCCTCCTCCTCCTCCTCCTCCTCCTTCCCCTCCTCCTCCTCCTCCTCCTCATCCTCCGCCTCCTCCTCCTCCTCCTCCTCCTCCTCCTCCTCCTCCTCCTCCTCCTTCTCTCCTCCTAAGTGCCATCTGCGCTGAAGCTGCACTGGCCGCCCCCGTGGGACAGACCGTCAGAACTCCCTCTGCCAGCGAAATATCCTGAACCCCCAGCCTCAAAACTGCCACCGAAATATCCTCACCCCTAGCCTAAAACTGCCAGCTAAATATCCTCACCCCTGGCCTCAAAACTGCCACCGAAATACCCCCACACACACACACACACACACACACACACACACACACACACACACACACACACACACACACACACCGTGCCAGCGAAAGATCCTCACCGCCCCTGGCCTAAAACTGCCAGCTTAATATCGTTACCCCCTGGACATAAAATTGCCAGCGAAATATCCTCATCCCCTCACTGGAAACTGTCAGCGGCATATCCTCTCTGCCCCTGGCCTAAAACTGCCAGCAAAATATCCTCACGGCCTCAAAACTGCCACCGAAATATCCTCACACCCCTCGATTGAAACTGCCAGCGAAATATCCTCACCGCCCCTGGCCTAAAACTGCCAGCTAGAGATATCCTCACCCCCTGGCCTAAAACTGCCAACGGCACATCCTCAACCCCCCGAAATAAAACTGGCATCTAACGGCTTTGGTGATTCAGTTGTCAGTTCAGTCATTCCCTTTCGGTAGGTGGATCTCTCAAGCTCTCCGCCGCCTCTGGCGGTGTGCGCTCAGCTATTCAAGCATCCGGTCCTTCAGTCATCCGGTGATTCAGCTGTCGGTTCAGCCATTCAGTCCTCCAGTCTCCTTTCCGACAATCAAACCACGGGCTGCGCCCGAAAAATCATACCATCGGCTCCGCGCCAGAACTCCGGCCTCCGACGGCCGCTCGGGGCGATCCCGACACCCCCCCCGCGACGCCCTCGGCGAGGCGCGGCTGTTGGGAAGCACCCCGATGGGGGAGAAAACCTCCAGGCCCCCCAGGCCCGAACTCGAGGGAAAAAACGCCGCACGCCGGTCAAAGAGAACAGGTCGTCGGAGGTCTGGGCCTGCTTCGGGGCGAAACCGGCCCACCAATACGGACGCCCGAAACGGATACGGAATACATGGGCACGGGGCCCCACAGCAAATGCTGCCCAAAGCCTAGAGCAGCCGCTCTTGGGCAGGGGGCCTTCTGTCTCGAATGGACAACGCCCGCGGCGACACCGACAGCGAGCCCTGTTCAGACCGAAGAGGAACTGCTGTCGGTCTGCGTACCCCTTCTTTCCGTACCGATTCCCGTCGTACCGATTCGCGCGCTCGCGCCGTCGCCCCGGAAAACGGCACACTGGGTCGAGAGAAGACCGATCTGGCCGAAGGCCGCTCCAACAAGAGCCCACTCTGGCAGAAGCGCTCCAGCAAACGCCCGCTTTGGCAGAAGCGGGCTTCGGCAGCAGCGTTTCTTCTGTCTGATTGGTGCTGCTGATTTCCCTGCTGCTACTCTCCCTCGTTCATCACGCTGCTTCCCTTCCTCCTCCTCTCCTCCTCCTCCTCCTCCTCCTCCTCCTCCTCCTCCTCCTCCTCCTCCTCCTGCTCCTCCTCCTGCTCCTCCTCCTCCTCCTCCTGCTCCTCCTCCTCCTCCTCCTCCCGCCCTCCCTCATCCCTTGTCTCTGCGGCTTCCCCTCATTCCTCATACTTTCCTTCATCGTCCCTCATCCCTCCCGCCCTCCCTCCCTCTCATCCCTACCTTCCTCATCCCTCATCCCTCCCTCCCCCATCCCTCATTCTTGTCTCCCTCATCCTTGCGAGTTCCCCTCATCCCTCCCTCCAGCTCTTCCTGTCTCCTTTCCGCCGTCGCCCTCGCCCTCGTCGCAGCCGCTGTCGCCGTCGACGCCGTCGTCACCGCCGCCGCCGTCGCTGTCGCCTTCGCCGCCGTCGCCGTCGCCGTCCGTCGGCTCGACCCGACCCGCCCGTGAGGGGGCCGCTCGGGTCCGCCCGCCCGACCCGTTGCGATCCGCCCGTTAGGGTCCGTTCTTTTCGACCCGACCCGCGCGTGCTCAGACGAATGCGTACCACGCGTAGAGATGTCCCGCCCGACCCGACCCGCCCGTCAGGGTGCGCCCGCCCGACCCGACCCGCCCATTGCGGTGCGCCCGCCCAACCCGACCCGCCCGTTAGGGTTCACGCGTGCTGAGTCGAGCGCGCCCGCACTTTGACATCCCGCCCGCAAGGCCCGACCCGCCCATTGCGGTGCGCCCGCCCGCCCCGACCCGCCCGTTATGGTGCGCCCGCCCGACCCGAGCCGCCCGTCAGGGTGTGCGCCCGTCCGACCCGACCCGCCCGTCGAGGTTCGCGCGTGCTCTCTCCTTCTCGAGCGTGCACTACGATGTAATGTCACGCTAGCCCAACCGGATCCGCCCGTTAGACTGCGCCCGCCCGACCCGACCCGCTGGGTGTGCGCCCGCCCGACCCGACCCGCCCGTTTGGGTTCGCGCGTGCTCACTCGAGCGCGCGCCACACTTTAATGTCCCGCCCTCCCGACACGATCCGACCGTTGGGGTCCGCCCGCCCGACCCGACCCGCCCATTGCGGTGCGCCTACCCGACCCGACGCGCCCGTTAGGGTTCACGCGTGCTCACTCGAGCGTCCACCATAGTTTAGTTAATGTCCCGCCCGCCCGACCCGACCCGCCCATTGCGGCGCGCCCGCCCGACCCGACGCCCGTTAGGGCTCACGCGTGCTCACTTCAGTGTGCACCACTTTAATGTCCCGCCAGCCCGACCCGACCAGGTCGTTGGGTCCGCCCGCCCGATTCTGCGGCCGAGTGCCAGCCGCAGTGGCTTCGGGCGCGGGTCAACGACGTTGGCCGTGCTTCGCGCTCGGTGCGCCACGGTCGCGTCTGTCATTTGTGCGGGCGGGACAGTGGCACTGCACACGAGGATCGGCAAGCGCCGTCTAAAAGTGCGCATGTGCTGTCCTCTTGCCTCCTTCTGACACCCTGTCTACCTGTCAGCTTCCGCCTATCCTCCCCCCTCCTCCTCTTCCTCCTCCTCCTCCTCCTCCTCTTCCTCCTCCTCCTCCTCCGCCTCCTCCTCCTCCTCCTTCCCCCCTCCTCCTCCTCCTCCTCCTCCTCCTCCTCCTCCTCCTCCTCCTCCCCCTCCTCCTCCTCCTCTACGCACTTGCCTCCCCCCTGACTCGTGCCCTGGCGCCCAGGCCAACGGGTTCCTGAGCAAGCGGGCGTGGGCCTCCAGCCAAGCGGTTTCTGGGCGAGCGGTCTCCGGACGAGCGGGCTTCTGGCCGAGCGGTCTCCAGGCGAACGGCTTCTGGGCGAGCGGGCTTCCGGGAGCGCGGGCTTCTGGGCGAGCGGGCTTCTGGGCGAGCAGTCTCTGGGCGAACGGGCTTCCAGGCGAGCGGGCTTCCTGGCGAGCGGTCCTCCGGGCGAGCGGGGTTCCGGGCGAGAGGGCTTCTGGGCGAGCGGGTTCCTGGGCGAGCAGTCTCTGAGCGAGCGGGCCTGTATCGCTGGGCCCAGGCCACGACGCGCGAGGCGCGAGTGCCATCGCGCCCCTGCGGGCGACGCTGGAAGCATCGGCGCTGCAGATTGCGCCGCATCGCCGATGCACCGGCGAAGTATCGGCCGGCCTTCTCCGAACGCCGTCGCCTTCTTCGATCAGCCCGTCTTGTCGTACCGATTATTTCCGTGCCCATGTCGATCCTACCAACCCGACGACGACGACGCCGACGACGACGACGCCGACGACGACGCCGCCGCCGACGACGACGACGACGACGCCGACGACGACAAGGAGCCGACGCCGACGTTGACGTCGAGGACAAGAGAGGACGACGAAGACGACGACGACGACGACGACGACGACGACGACGACGACGACAACGACGACAAAGACGACGACGACGACGACGGCGAAGACGACGACGACGACGACGACGACGACGACGACGACGACGACGACGACGACGACGCCCCAGGCACCTGTGGCACGGCCGCCTCCACGGCCGTCCGGCAGGGCGCGGCCGCGGCCGGGACCGCCAGAGGCGCAGCGGGCTTCCCGCGCGGGTGCAGCGCTCTGGCCGGGGGCGGCGCGCCGGGCACGCTCGGCGGCCAGGGCGGCGGCCAGCTCGGGCGGCGCCAGCTCCTGAGGGGGAACGTCAGGGGAGAATATATTGTATATCTATATGTAAATGTACCTCTATATATATATATATATATATATGGTTACAGCGCCCTCTGAGATCTACCTTTCAAACATGAATGTACCTTTCCTTTTGTATACAAATGAAATAACAATGAGCATATATATATGATCCAAGGTTGCCGTGATGGGTACACCCTTGACCCTTGATCACATATACCCACACATAGGTGGGAAGTCCCACTGGGCCACGGTGTCGCAGCCCCACCGGCCCACCCTCCTAGATGGGGATGGGCCCCGCGAGACCCGAAGGAACAGGCCTGTATCCCCACCCAGGTGGGTAAGTCGGGCGGGGGCGGCCCTGGAGCTCAGGGGCCACGTCAGGTGGGGGAGGGACTCAGAGGTTCGAGGTTCGAGGGTTGGGGTTCGCTTCCTGGAGGCTTATCCCTCGTGGCGGCGGCCAATGCTGGCTCCGCTTCGAAATTCTAGGCAGAACGAACCCCGGGAGAGGTCCAAGGATCGATTTTGCCGAAGATCGGAATTGAGGATCGCTGCTGGGAGGTAGGCGCAGGGGGGACCAGCTCCTTAGACCCCCCTGCGTCGGGCAAAAATCAAGACGGGAGGTTTGCGGCTGTTCTTGGCTTCTGGGGCCCTTGCAAGGCCTCGGGGCTGCGTCAAAGACTCAAAGAACGACTCAGGATGGAAAGCCGGCCCCAGGGGAAGGGGCGGGGGTCCACGCCATGACAAATCAAAACGTCGGGGGATCAACTCGGGGGGAGGGGCAGCACCGACCCGGAACATCGTCGATACGTCGCCGACAGATCATCGGCGACAGGCCCCCCGACAGCGACCCCGCACGTCCCTGGGCGGTGAGTGGACTGTCCGGCCCCCCATCGGCGACGCACGGGCGGCGGGAGGCCGAGGCTGCCCCCCCATGAACCAGCGATCCTCGTCGCTCTGATGCATTGAAACCCGCATCGACAATGTTCAATCACATTTTTTGCATTTTTGCACTCTATAAATTTGAATTATGAAATAATTCCATGTTTTGAACTTTAGAGGCTCACGGACCAGAGCTTCGGCTTCTGGCGACCGCTGGGGACGACCTGGGCATCCCCGGGCGCACCTCGGCGAGGCGCAGCCGCTCGAAGGAACCCCAGGCCGGAAAGCCGCCGAGAACCGCCGAGAACACCTGAGAACCTATCCCCCCTTGACGTGCCCCCTGGGCTCCAGGGCCCCACTGGCCGACTTACCCACCTGGGTGGGGACATGCTTCACGGGAAGGGTGGGCTGGTGGGGCTGCGATTCCATGACCGCCTGACGATGGGGATAGCAGAAGAGCAAAAAACTGCATGGGCAGAAAGTTACGGGGGCGGCGCCACAAGCGCTGCCAGGGAGCCCAGCGCCAATCCACGGAATCCGCGCGAACCGCCGAACGTTTCTGTCTATGCCGTTTTGCCTCTGCGAGATAGGCTAGACAGCGCTGAGCTCCAGGGCCCCCATTGCCCACTCCAGCTCTCAGAAAGCGCTTGGCGAGGCCCAGCCGCTGGAGAGCATCTCGGGCCTGAGCCTGTCCCCCCTGGCTTTGCCCCTGACCAGGGGTCAAAGATCGATCCCTGGACCACTCCCAGGGTGTGTTCGGCCCAGAATTTCCCGGCGGAACTAGCCGTGGCCACGAGGGCGCCCCAGGACAACCAGAAGCCTCTAGGAAGCGAACCCCAACCCTCGAACCTCGAACCTCTGAGCCCCTCCCCCACCTGACGTGGCCCCTGAGCTCCAGGCCCCCCCACCGCACGACTTACCTACCTAGGTGGGGATACAGGCCTGTTCCTTTGGGTCTCGCCGGGTTTATCCCCATCCAGGAGAGTAGGCGGATGGGGCTGAGACACCATAACCCAGTGAAGATAGGGATACGGCAGGTTCGTGCCGTGACGACCTTAGCGCTGGTCTCTGGCACCGCGTGGATCGTTCAACCTTGACGGCGGCTGTTCGATCGACTAGTCTTCCCATACTGGCAGACTCTAGACCACTTCCAGAGCTCAACCCTGAACGCCCGAAGCGGGGTCGCGACCGCGTCGGCACGACACGAACCTGCCGTAGGTTAGACGATGTTGAGCTCCAGACCACCCACCACCCACTCCATGGACCCCGCGACGATCCAATACATCCGCGCGGAACTCCGAAGGTTCATGTTTATGACGTCTCGTCTTTGAGAGGAAGAGGAGGAGGAGGAGGAGGAGGAGGAGGAGGAGGAGGAGGAGGAGGATCGGATCAGATCGGATCGCCTCTGCGGGCATGCGCCCGGGCCCCTTGAGGGCGAGGCGGGTGAGGCCATGGCCTCGCATGAGAGGCAGCGCGCGTCGGAGGCTTGCTCAGGAGCATGCGTACCTCACGCGTTGATGTTCTAATTGTTTCCACTCCTCTATTGTAACCCGATGTAGTGACATAGTTATGTTGAAGTCGTAGTGTCTGTGGCATGAACCTGTCGGAGAATCCCATGGATGTCGTCGTCCTGTCTGCAACCGCGAAGCCCAACCTCAACACGAACGAGTTGAACGCCTCGGAACTCCAATCCAGTGCACACTGGCGCAGGATCACTCGTGTTCTCACGAGCTCTTTGACACATCCTTCAGACACCACTCACGGCGCTGATACACGCGCAGCCGAAGGCCCATAAGCTGGAGGTCGATTGGCGGTGGAAACGGGAAGTCGGAGGCTAGAAAGTTTAGGTCTGGATGTCGTGCTGATGGAGGGTGGAGGTCGATTGGTGGAGGTAGAAGCCGACAGTCGGATGCTCAAGGCTGGTTGTTGTAATGCTGATTTGGTGGGCGTCGGGAGTCGATAAATAGAGGTGGGAATGGAGAGTCAGATGCTAGATGCTGAAGGTCGGAGTGCGGGGCTGTTGGACGCTGGAGGCCGATAGGTGGAGGTGGATCGAAAGTGGGATGCTAGACGTTGGTGGTCGAAGTGCTGAGCTGGTGGATTGGACGCTGGAGGTCGATTGGTCGAGCTGGAAGTGGAGACTCGGATGCTGGAGGTTGGAGGTCTTAATGTTGAGCTGATGATCGTTGGAGGTCGATAGGTGGAAGTGGAGGTGGAGAGTCGGATGCTGGAGATTGCAAGTCGCCGTGCTGACCTGGTGGACGCTGGAGGTCGATTAGTGGAGGGGGAAGTGGAAAGTCAGATGCTGGAGGCTGGAGGTTGGAATGCTGAAGTGGTGGAGGTCGGGAGGTCGATCGGTGGAGGTGGAAGCGGAAAGTCGCATGCTGGAGGTTGGAGGTCGTAATGTTGAGCTTTGAGCTGGTGAACGTTGCAGGTCGATCGGTGGAGCTGGAAGTGGAGAGTCGGATGCTAGGGGTTGGAGGTCGGAGTGCTGCGCTGGTGGACGCTGGAGGTCGATTGGTCGAGCTGTAAGTGGAGAGCCGGATGCTATAGGTTGGAGGTCGTAATGTTGAGGTGATGGCCGCTGGAGGTCGTTAGGTGAAGGTGGAAGTGGAAAGTCGGACGCTAGAGGTTGGAGGACGTAATGTTGACCTGGTGGAGGTCGGGAGGTCGATCGGTGGAGGTGGAAGCGGAAAGTCGCATGCTGGAGGTTGGAGGTCGTAATGTTGAGCTGATTGACGCTGGAGGTCGGTAGGTGAAGGTGAAAATGGAAAATCGGATGCTGGAGATTTTTGCACGGCCAGTATGAAGTAACATGTGTGCGTTCTTCTGCCCGTTCTTCTGCCCCTCAGAAAGAAACCCGGTCGTAAGTAGCATTCCGGGCACCACTAGGCACCCAGCAGCCCTGAGGAGCCCCAGGGGCTCTCGAAGGCGCATCCACATCAATGAACTCAACGCGAGGCAGCGAGCGCATCGTGTGAGAGTCGGATGCTGGAGATTGTAAGTCGGAGTGCTGAACTGGTGTACGCTGGAGGTCGATTGGTGGAGCTGGAAGTGGAGAGTCGGATGTTAGAGGTTGGAGGTCGTAATGTTGAGCTGATGGACGCTGGAGGTCGATGGGTGGACGTGGAAGTGGAAAGTCGGATGCTGGAGGTTGGAGGTTGGAATGTTGACCTGGGGGACGCTGGAGGTCGATAGATGGATGTGGAAATAAAATCGAATGCTAGAGGCTCGGGGTCGGGATGCTGAGCTGGTGGACGAGTGAGGTCGATGGGGGGGGGGAAGTAGAAAGTCGGATGCTAGAGGCTGGAGGTCGTAATGTTGAGCTGGTGGAGGTTGGGACGTCGAAAGATGGAGGTGGAAGCGGGGAGTCGGACGCTAGGGGCTGGAGGTCGGAATGCTGAACTGGTGGGCGCTGGAGGTCGACAGGTAGAGATGGAAGTGGGGAGTGGGGTGCGGGAGGGTGGAGGTCGAAGGCCGAGCTGGATGTGAAACTTGAGGCTGGTGCTAATGAGGCAATCCTGCTTGCTGCTAGATGTGCCTGTGTCCTCGCGTGAGAGATTGCGCTGGCCGGTCGCCTACTCATGAACGCGCATACTTCACGAAATTCTTCTCCAACTGATCCCACTCCTGTGTCGTAGCCGGTTGTAGCCACGTGCCGTTGAGGTCGAAGTCCCTTCGCGGCGTCTGGCGTCGGTTGTTTGCGTCGTGGAACTGGCGAAGAAGCCCGCGGATATAATCGCCTCACCTCTTCCATTGTCCTCCATGATGACGCTGTCCAGTCTGGGAAGCGTGAAGGCTCGGGTGCCAATGAAGAACACTTTGTGGCCATTCATGTGGTAGTTGCTTCGCAACGCGGGCTGCGCATCTCCATACCATATGTTCTTGCATTGTCACCCAATCGTGGAACGCATGTTGTTGCATGAGGACCTCCGCTTGTCGAGCCGCTCGCTCGATGTATTCAACCCATGGTTCCAGACCGTCGTTTCTTGGCTGGTTGTCCTGGCTGTCGTCAGTATTGCCATGATCTGCGTCGTCGGTTTCGTTGCTCGGGTGGGCGGTCGGTGGATTGCTGTCTACATCTTCTGCGTCGGTGTTGTCTGTGCCGGATACCAAAACTGGCGTCGAAAGAAGTTCTTGTGGGCTGGTCGCGCCGGGCGTTGGTCTGACGTCGGTGTTTCGTCATCGAAGGGTGCAGATAACCATGCGCAACTTGCGCCGTCGTGTGCATTGTAGCTGCTGTCGCAAAGGCTCAGTCAACGTCTAAATACCTGCGCCATAGAGAACAAAACAGTCGGCATGACCGCGCCGTCAAAAAGACGGAGTCGTTGTTTCAGCGGATAATGTTTTCCAGCGGGTTCTTGTCTAAGATGTGTGAAAAGTTGCCCACCCTGCCTTCAGGCGGTTCATCACCTCTGTGACACGTGTGTCGTCGAAGCTGATGCGCTGACCCAGATACTTCACTAAATCAGAGTATAGAAAGATCTCGATGTCGAATCCGCGGGTTGCCATCTTGCGTTGACGTGCCCTCCCCGTGCGTTCTGACAAGCTGGACATGATCTTCGTTTTGTCGGGATGTATATGAACTCCATGCGTTTGTGTTGCTGCGGCCACGTCCTTGAGCATAGTGGCGAGGCGAGGGAGCGTCCGACTTATAAGGGGAGCGTCGTCAGCGAAACGAAGGTTCGCGAGGCAGCATTCTGGTGAGAATTCAAGTTGGACTCCTCGGGCGCGTTGTTGCCATTTGGTGACGAACGGTCTCATTATGTACTCAATGAGCGAATTGAAGAGCAGTGAGCTGAGCACCCTGTTTCTTGCCTCTCAGTAGATGGAATGGGCGGCTGGTCGAGTGTGTTTGTACTGTCGCTGTTTGCTCAGGAGTAGAGCCGCTTTAACAGGTGGATGGAGTCTGCTGTGATGCCCTGACTTTCAAGTGCCGCCCAGAAAATTTCGCGCCCCACAATGTCGAATGCTTTTTTGAAGCCGGGTGCTGCGAATCCTTTCCACAGTGCCGAATGCTTTCTTGAAGCCGAGTGTTGCGAATGCTTTCTTGAAGTCGAGAGCTCCACAACGTCGAATGCTTTCCACAGTGTCGAACGCTTTCTTGGAGGAGGGGGGAGTGGATGGAGGAGGAGGGGGAGGAGGGGGCGAACGCAGGGAGTCCTCGATCCCCGCCTACCCCACCACAACGCCAGCCCTCCTGCGTCCTCGGGCGGCGGGACGGGAGGGGCAGGCGCTCCGGGCCTGAACTACATGCCCCCCATCGAGACGGCGGCGCGGGCGTCGCGGCCAGAGGGCCGAGGACGCGGCAGCACACATCGGGCACGCGTGGGCGAGGGGGAAGGAGAGGAGCAGGCACTCGCAACAGCAGCGCTCGGGAGTGAAGGACGGGTGGAGAAGATGCGTCTGGATGGCATGGCCCGAGCAGGAATCGCAAGAATCGGGTTGCGAGGAGGACAGGGGTCGGGCGAAAGGGCGGACGGCAGCGGGGGAGCGGCACAGAATGGGTATGGAAAAAAGACGAGGGCTCATGATTTTGTCTCACACAGGGCCCACTGTGGGGCAATGTGAGGGCGCCCCAAACTCCTGATCCGCACGACAAGGACACCCACGGAGCGCACGCCACTCAAGAGGGCGCGGCAAACGGCGAGGACGGACGCGGGGGGCAGGGGCGGCGCGGCAATCAGGGTCGACGGAGTCGATGGCGCGGACTCGGAGACCAGCGGCGCGAGGCGAGGCGAGCGGGTCGCCGAGCGGGGGCACGCCCTCGCAGACGAAGTCGATGACGAGCGGGAGCAGGTCGGCGAAGAAGGAGAAGAAACCGACGAAAACGAGGAAGACGAGGAAGAAGAAGAGTCGCTCTCCACTGAGTCGTGTGCCATCGCCGGCTTGAGAAACTGGCGATCAGCTAGCGCGCACCTTAACGGGGTCGCCATGCGCATGGCTCGCACACCAGCTAGTGCGCAGCTGAACGTTTGCTCGGGTGGCAGCAGCCAGGAGGGGGTGGTCTTGGCAGCGTGGTAGGCGCCATACGCTGCAGTCATCACCGACACTGCCGCGAGAGAGGGCGGGGCCAGCGCCCATCGCTCGAGGAACGGGGGCGGGAAGGCCCGAGCCAGCGCCTGGCGCAACGCCCGATGCAGCGGACGGCAGCGGGCACAATGCCGCAGGGCGTCAGGGGCGCGCGCGCGCGCCCGCAGGCGCAGCCGCGCAGCCCCAGCGGGTGGGCGATCCGCGATGAGGTCAGCCATCCGACAGCCCACGTCCTGAGCACAGCCCGTGACCAAGAACGCGGACACCTGGCGAGCAGCTCACGCACCTGGGCCCAGTCGACGGCGGCGGCGGCAGAGCGTCGCTGGCCAAGAAGCTTGCCCAGCCGAGGAGCGAGAAGCCGCTCCAGAGGTGCGTCGCGTAGAGCAAGTTCCTGCAACGCACGGTGAGCAGCGCGTTGGGAGCGAGGGCGATGAGCGGCAGCCTCCGCAATCTCAGCGCGAGCGGCCGCCACTGCCCGCGGGAGGAGAGCCACGGACCTGCGAGAGGGCGCTGCCCCAGCCACTGCACCGGCCACGATCTCAAAGAATGCGGGGGCTGCCGGAAGCCATGGCAGGCGGCGCCCGTCCGCAGCATGCCGAGGGCATGCCAAAGCGGTCGCGCGGCTGCGAAGGAAGCGAGCTCACCCCGAAGACGTTCATGTTCAGGAACGGCCCACAGTGCCGAACGGACCAATGACGCAACATTCAGGTGAAGCCAGCGGGCCACGCGGGGGCCACCCCAAGTAGCAAGCTGGCACCATGCACTGCGATTGAAGACGCCGAGCGGGACACGGAAGACCTGCGCGAGGACCGAGAGCTCAAATCTCAACAAGTCCGAAGGAATCCACGCGAAAAGACTGACGTATGATGAGGTACTCGCCGCTCTGGTGTTGCACAGGATCGAAGAGAGGCTAGCGGGAGTCACGCCCCGCCCAATGGCCAAAGATCTGAGCCGACATTCAGCGACGGGGTCCGTCCAGGACGCGGCAGGGCCAGCAGCAGGACTCATGTGGGCGCCCAGTTGCACCAATGACGGGACCACCTCGAAAGCAGTCCACTCAGAAACCGAAGAGGCTATCACGCGGGACGCGCCACGGGCAAGAGATCCCGAGAACTTGGCACACAGCGGGACCACTTTGCATGCGGCAATTTCCCAAACCAGGTTCGCGATCTGGGCGGCGACGGACATCGCGCGATAGACCCGAGATCATAGAGCAGCCCGACAAAACGCGCCACCGACGCCGTCCGCACAGGCCCGCGCGAGACCCAGCTGAGGACCCTCGATCGAGGCCTGCAGATCCTCCAAGAAGACCAAAGAACCCAGGGCGAAGAGGGCCCCAGAGAGCCCGCGCCCCTGCATGATGCAACTAAGGAGCCAGTACATGCGCTGGAACAACCCTGTCACCTGAGCGATGCCCTCGATGGGGGCATAGAGGAACCGAACAAAATCCAGACAAGGCAACGAGAGGCCCAAAGAGCCCAGGAGGCACAGCAGGGAGTCCTGGTTCAGGGAGGGGAAGGCCTGGCCGAAGTCCAGAGAGAACAGGATGGGAAGTCATGGGCGCCGTGGGGAGTGACCGACAACTGCCGAGACGAGACGTCGAGCTCCAAAATGTTCGCACCAAAATTCCGCCGCAGAACAAGGCCACGCTGACGAAGAGGCGCAGCGACTTGAAGAGGCGGGCGAAGGGCAGCATTGACAGTGGCCGACAGCACCTCACTGTCCGTACTTCTGAGACCAAGCACACGCAGCTTCTCAGGCACTCGCGCACATTGAGCATCGCGCAGCTCCCCCATCTGCGATTGTTTTCGGCAAGAACGCTTGGATAGTAACACTTGAAGCATCATAGAGAGCCCGCCCGTTCAACAGCAATTCGATGGGGGGCCATTGCATGTCGACACCCGACGGCGACGCGAGCCTGGCCTCATAAGGGACCCCAGCGATACCAATGGCCGAATCCTGGGCACGTCGGAGAATCTGCCGAAGAAGCCGGGGGGTAGGGGGAAAGAGCGAAACCTGCGCGACGTCGGGGATCCAAGTGCGAACGTGCTCCGAGGCCAGCTGATTCCGAAAAAAACACAGGCGCTTCCAAAAAAATCCCCAAGAACTTGGGCCCGAGCCTCAGGATCCGAGACAACGCCCAAGACGCCACACACGATACCAGAGAGAGCCAGCCGGCGACCCAGCGGGGACCAGAGACGGGCTTCGCGTTCCCGGTCACGGCCAGCTTCGCGCATCAGAAACTTGAAGTGTTCGAGACGGAACGGAGGTGATAAAGAGGCCCAGTCTGTCATGTCACTGAGCTCCTGCAACCGCTCGCGAAAGAAGGGCCCCTTTGCACGGGCGCCCAGTGAGAGCACCTTCTGATGGGGGCCTGGGAGAGCGGGGCGAGATGGAGACGATGACCGCTGCGCGATCAGAGATCTCTCTGTCGGCAACGTCCGCGGCGGCACGCACCGAGGACAAGATGAAGTGCTGGCAGGCTTGCCAGCTGGGCGTGGGGACGAACTCCCTGTCGACGATCGCCTCTGAGTCCTGGCCGCGGACGTAGCGCGTCGGCCCCTGCCCCTCCAGCTCGAGCACGCGGGCCAACGCCGCGCGCCCGAGAGGGGCACGGGCATGACGTTGACACCCAGACGGCTCGAGCGCCGCCACCGGCGCACTCAGCGGCAGGGAGTCGGCGTCCGAGTTGAAGTCGCCGTTGACCAAGACGAAACGCGCATTGGGCCCCTCCGCCGCGTAGCTCAACAAGGTGAAGATTTCGGACGCGACGGATCGGACCTCCTCGCAAGTCAGGCCACGGTTGCGCACATTGTAGGCCGCGAGGGAAGCGTCGCCACGCAAAACGGAAACACGCAACCCTCTGCCAGGAACCAGCTCAGCTGTCCTCGACCCAATGCACGAGCCCCCCAACTGAGCGAGCGGAGGCAATAGAATCACGACCCCACCGCGAATCCGACCCGCCCGTCCCTCACAGGAGCCGGCGAAGACGGTGACACCAGGGCCCACAGTTTGAAAAAAGACACGAAGTTGAAGATCACCTTGGTGAACTTCCGGAAGAGAGATGATGGCGCTGCGCGGGGATAAACGAGCCAGCTAGTCCCTCTTCAAGCCGGCCCTCGCCCCCGCAGCCTGAAGCAAGGCTCGACAGTTCCGAGACGCGAACCTGAGCGGGGCCCGCGGGGCCCCCACCCTGACTGAAACACAGACAAGGAGATCGCATATGCTAAAGACACAAATTCTCCTCAGCATCAGGCGTCGTAGGAGGGCGGCAGGCGTCGAGGCAGCGCTGCTTGTCCCAGCCGGTCTTGGCCAGGTTGGAGGGCCCCAAGTGGATCTGCGGCGCCTCGCTGCCAGGGGAGACGGAGACGCGGGCGACGCGGGGCCGCTCGACCGAAGGGGGCGCCGCGCCCCTTGTCCATGAAGATCCTGGAGCGAGGGCAAGAGGCCGCCAGCGCTTGGCGGACACGACGCGAGGTGACCCCCAGAGGAATCTGCTCGGGCTCTCGCCAGGGCACAGGCGCAAGCGGCACTGGGAATTCGTGCCACAAGAGACAGAGAACTCATGCCAAGTGCCATCGCGCTTCTTGAGGCAGCCCAACAACTTGGCGGCCCTCCGCGCGGCGGGCGCGGCGAGCCCGAGGAACTGAACCGCCAGCCGCTTCGACGGGACAGGGCCCAGCGCTCGGATCTCGAACTCATCCGCCTGGAAGTTTGAGTCGGGCACGAACTGCTGCGGCGAGGTCTTGACCTCCGCGAGGGAGGTGGGGCGCTGGGCGATGGCCAGCACGATTTTCGAGTCTGCGTCGCGATCGAAGCCCGACGGGACGGGCGGGGGAACGGCGGGCCGCTGGTCGGCCACCGCAAGGAGATGGCGCGCGCGACCCACATCGTCCTCAATGGCTCGAAGTTAATTGTCACGTGTATCCAGACGACCTTCGGCTGCGGCGAAACGAGCGTTGGTGGCGCCGATCTGCCGCTGCAAGCGCCTGTGCAAGCTGTCGACTTCGGGGCGAACAATGCCAGGTACTCGCTGACCGTCATCATATTCGGACTTCCTGGCGACCTCCGAGCGCGGCGCGCCGACAATCGCCAGCAACTCGCCCACGGAGTCAGCGGCGTCCTGGGCGATCTCGGCGGCGATCTCGGCGGCGCGGGCAGCTTTGCATGACTCGAACACCTGGAGGCATGCTTGCTTGATATACGGCTCGGAACAGTCTTCCTATTCATCCACGGGCACACCAGCAGGAGCACCAGGACCACGGAAACGTCTGAGAGGAGGAACCTGAGGAGCGGACTTGCCCTTGCCGTGCGCGGGCTTGGCTGGAGAGGCAACAGCGGCGGTGCCCTCCTGGGACGGGAAAGCGGCCGCCTCCTCGAACGCGGCAGCGATGCCACGCATAGCGAGCGAGCTTGGGGAGCCAGGTGCCGAGCTGAGGGACATGCTGCGCGCGCTGCGCTGCGCGCTGGCGCAGCGCCCCGCACCGCAGGCGAATGCGGCGGGGAGACAGAGACCGGCCGCGGACTAGCGGCATCCCCTTCGTTCCCAAGGGAAACAAGCATCTCGAGCCAAAATGGCCACGGAGGAGGAGGAGGAGCAGCAGCGGCAGCAGGAGGAGGAGCAGGAGGAGGAGGAGGAGCAACAGGAGAAGGAGGAGCGCGCCTCACCTGGAGGGAAGAGGAGGAGGAGGAGGAGGAGGAGGAGGAGGAGGGGCAGGAGCAGGAGCAGGCGGAGGAGGAGGAGGAGGAGGAGGAGAAGGAGAAGCGCATGTCGCCTGAAGGGAAGATGAAAAGGAAGAGGAGAAGGAGGAGGAGGAGGAGGAGGAGGTCCGCAGCCATTTTGGCTCAAGCCAGTTTGGCTCAAGCCATTTTGGCTGATGTCCGTGGCCATTGTCGAGGTGGCTTGACAGTGAGCCAAGGCCTCCAGGGTAGGTAGGCACCACGGCCTCGCCCTTGGACTGGCCCGAACTTCGGCATCTGTTCAGTTCTTTCCAACCACGTCCCCTTGCCCTTGGCCCAGGCGGAACGCCCCGCTCCAGAACACCTTTGCAAGCCTCGGCCGCAGCACATGTCATCGAAGGACTGGAAATGCGAGAGGTACAATCGTCTCAATTCATCACAATTTTGGCGCTGTTGGCGCGGGCACAAGTGGCGGCATCGCGCTGCAAGTCGCGGGCGCCGCCAAGACCGCCCGCGCACCCCGCCGCGTTCGAGGCGACACCAGCAGGGGCCCCCGCCGCAGAGCTACGAGGGCATCGAGCACAGACCGCGCCCGCAGAAGGGCCGCAAAGGACCAATCACAAGCAACGAGGTCCGCCAGCCCATCGATGCGACGCCGCAAGCCTCCAGGGGGAACGCGGAGAAGCACAAGAACTACCTGCGCCCGCCCACCACGCCGGCGCAGGTGGAGGCCCACAAGAAGGACATGGCGCAGAGGGCAGAGACCCTTGCCACCTGGGTCCTCGCAACTCGGAGGAGTGGCAGCGAGGGCGAGGACACCCTAGAAGAGTTGGCCACAGTCAAATACAGCATTGCCCCCACGCAGCCTGCGACAACTCGCGCAGCCCAGTTGCGGACCGAGCTCGAGGGGAGCAAGCAGGAAATCGAGAAGATCGAGACCAAGATCGAACAGCTGAACGCCCAGACGGATGTGCAGATCACGCGCCAGGACCAGATAAGCACCACCCTCCGGGAGCTGGACAAGGAAGCCCAGGAGAAGGCCGCGGCGAGACCAGCCGAGGCAGCGGCCGCGGGGGTCGCGCCCCCCCCGCCGCCAGCGCCGCCACGGCCGCCCCGGAGTCCGCCGCCCCTTCAAGGGCAGGAGAATCCCAACCAACCCATGTTTCAGCAGCACATGAGCCCCGCCGCAATGCAGCAGATGATGGCGTACATGATCCAGCAGGGGCACCAGGGAGTGGCCAAGGGAAACGGCGGGGGATCCGAACAGATGTCGCGGCTCACATCCGCCGCAGCACCAGCCCAGCAGCAACTCCCACATCGGCCACATCCCAGCATCAGCCCTACGCCGAAGCGGGAGGGCACCCCGCTCAAGGAGGAAGAGCCCAAGACGAAGCATCCAGCCACCCCTTGCACGGCGGGAGTTATGTCAGACGCGAAGATCGGGCCGACGGTAGCCCAGAAGGAAACCATCATCATACCCAGCCAGGAGTCTGCGGCCAAGGCGGACCCGCATGCCAGAGGCGGCCCACTGGGGCCCACCCAGATGCGGGGAGGATCGACGGGGACGCCGCTGCCCCAGCCCGTCTCGACGCAGGGAGCCAGCCAGTCGGAGATTGTCCCCCTGGACCCTGCGTTCCCGGTGGCAACGCAACCATGCACGCCAACTCAGACGGAGCAGATCAAGGGCCCCGACAACTTAGACGAGTTCTGAACCTCTCCAAGAAGGACGTCCAGAGCGACGACCTCGGCGACGCCAACTGGCACTACATGAAGTCAGAACATCACGAGCAGGCACTACCAAGGTCAGTGAATGAGCAGCCGCGCTCGCCTGTTCAGCCTGCGCTGCCCCAATCTTTAGTTCAATCCGATGGCGTGACCCCCCACGGAGGATCTCGCCCAGCGCGCGGCCACGGCTGGCTGCGCCCTAATGCTTAGTACGATGCAACTTGCAGCAGCACGGGGAGTGTTTTCCCTGCATAGCCCCCCCTGCGAAGCTGGAAAATCGGGGGGGGGTCCAGGGGGCCAGGAGGCCCCCCCGCTCGAGCAGGCCTGCCCGTAGATTACAATGGGGTATTTCAGAAGTTTGATATCACGAGCCACAGTTGGCTCTATGATCATGAATTAGATATTGAACTTTGCCCCCCTCCTCCTCGGGCGTCCGCTGGTGAGTGCATTCGAGAAGACCCCCCCCCTGCCCCTCGGGGACGATATCCCTCGACCCCGTTTGGACCCCCCCTGCTAGCCAGTCGGCGAGCGCCCATGTCAGGAAAAGCCCTGCCCATCGCCGGTCGCATCAATGTGATGGCATCAGCGATACGTTGAACAAGCCTGCAGCTCGTCATGAATGCAGGGGGACGGGATGCAGCTGGGAAGAAGCTGATCGGGAAGAGAATGAGAGAAGGGATTGCGTTTAGAGCATCGTGACCAGGCTATTTGCGCTGGACTCCCAGCGGAGAGCTTCTGTGAATTTCGTGTCATTCCGCCCATCCTGAATGCGCCGCTCTCCACCGTGCCCGCCCCTTTTTCTCGAGATCGCTCCTGAGCAAGAACTTCGAGACTCGGGTCGTTCGGAGCAAGTCCCTAGAATTGCTCTGACCATGGCCCCGCCGAGGGTCATTGTTCCCACCAAGTTTACTATATACACTGACGGGCCCCATTTCATGAGGGGGGGGGCCAAAGCTGCCTGGGCCCGCGGTGGTGGCTGAGAACCCCCAGGGAGTCTCTGCGCGGGGCGCGCGGCGTGGAAATTTGGAAGATACCAACGCCACGGGATTAACCACGTCGGAAGCTACTAGCACGACTCTTGAACCATCATTTGGGCCAGTCTGGGGGTTCTGACTGCTCCTTTTGATGATGTGGAATATGCCGTTGTCAGCGACTCGCTCTGCGCGATCAATGCTGCGGAGGGAACCCAGATTCCGAAGAGTGATGCTACTCTAGCTCGCCTGACCAGGGTCACCCGGCAGCTTGTGGCCATGTGGCGACGGCGCGCTATAGCTCGCGAGAAGTCGCACGCTGGCTTCCACTGGAATACGCTCGCGGATACTTTGGCTAAAGCCACTGCCCGCGAACTCTTGCCCCCCCCCCTCCCAACTTACCTCCTCAATGGGTGGAGGCTGTGAGGCGCGGCCCTAGTCGGGCCTGGGAGTGGTTGGTGGACCTGGCCCAGAGCGAAGGTAGGATGCGAGGAGATGCCCAGCCTAGGGTCTCGACGGGGGGGCGGTCTTGGTTCTTTGAGGGGCCCCCTTCCTGAGCGCGGGAGCGCCGTGGTTCGCCGCCCTGAAACTCATGGCGTGGATCAGAATGCTGTGTCCCGCCCAGCTATGCCCGCGCAGGTCCAGCTCACCACTGCGACCTTCAATGCCCAAGCGCTTCAAACGGATGCGAGGAGGGGCGCTCGAGGAAGGAACCGCGTTGCTCGCCAACAGCTTTGTTGCGCCCAGCTCGCAGGAGAGCGCGCCCACCTTGCCGGCATTCAGGAGAGCCGAATTAAACGGGCAAGGGACTAGACGCCAAGGAGATTACGTTGTTCTTGCGGCAGGACACGATCAGTTCAGCCTGTGGGTGGAATTATGGGTCAACATTGCCTCCCAGATGCCCATCGTGGTAGCACCCCCCTCTGCCTTGCTCGACATCGCACCCAGTTGCTCCATCTCTCCCCGCGCATCCTGGTTGCTAAGTCGTCTGCCCCTGATGTGGCTCTTAACCTGTATGTTTGTCACACCCCTCATATGCGTGCTGACACCATGGTTCGGGGTCAGCATTGGAGGGAGTTAGACGCCTTGCTACAAAGGTGGCCAGCAGATCTTTGCTTTGTGGATTGGAATGGGAGGATCGGGGCGACCCCGAGCCCTGCGGCTTCAACTGCTGGGCCAAGGTCGGAGGAAGATGCCAATGGCAAGGCGTTGCACACCCTCCTCCTCGCCCATCAGCTCGCTGCCACCAATACTTTCGGCTGCAAAGGGGGCGGGCACATTTTTACTTCCAAAGGAGCACGCGCCATCGCATCGATTACATCATCACCCAGCAGCGCCGTCTCAAAACCCCTTGCGATACCTATGTTCTTCACAATTGGGAGAGCGCGCGAGAAGCGGATGGCCATTTTCCGCTCATTGCTACTTTTGGCTGGAGCAGGACTTTTAAGAAGGAAGAGCTCGCGACCCAAGAAGTGGCACTAACAAGTTTTCGGACCCTGTTGGGCGCCCCTTGTTTGAGTCGGCCCTCAAAGAGGCCGATATCCAGCCCTGGGGCCGACATGTGAACGACCCTTACGCTCGAGTTGCGAGCGCCATTCGTCGGGCCATGACTCTTGCTTTCGGCAAAGACTCTGTCCGCCCTAGAAAGCCTTACACCTCCCCCCCCACATTCGCCCTCATCCGCGCCCGCCCCGCGATCAGGAAAGCGCTTCGCTGCAGCCGGCAGCTCACGCTAGCGGGCGGCGCCTTTTTACCTCCGGACCTCAGCGAGGACATCTCCCGAGAAGCCGACGGCCAGCGCAAGGTCAGCGGACGGCTTTTTTTTACCTGGCGGTAAGTCTGAGCAAGGGTGAGCTTTGTCACGAGATCCAGCTTGCGGCGCAGTCGCAACCACATCTTCTGCAGCATCGTCCTCAGCAGTTTGTCTGGCCGAGTCTGCAGGGGCAATGCAATCATTTTCCTGCGCCAAAACATTGATGTTGATGAAATTGTTTTGCCCTCGTTTCTTTCATTGCCTCCGCCACCC